ACCATAAAATAGGCACCATCTGCTTTTACAGCAGTCGTTTAAAGATCCCGTTTATGTCATTCGTGCACCGGCATCATCATCTGCATTAAAAAAATAACCTGCGAGTTACTCAAATAAGATTACACATAGCAACATTGCCACCTGCTGGAAGACTATCTCCATCTGTTAAACATCCTGGTGATAGCCCTTTGCTATAAGAATGGCACGAATAGCAAATGTTCAGAATTATTCATGCTTTAAAAGTTCAAACATTATTTTGCATGTGAAGGAGAACTCTCCGATGTGGCAGTTTTTTTTTAAATACGTCATCGCCTACGGGGTTTACATTTAGCTTTTTTGTTTGAATAAATGCAATTTTGTGCGATTTCAAATTTGTGAATAAAATCAATCCTCGTCAGCAGCCAGAGTATCCACTGCTGGATGAAGGCCTCCCCAAACCGCTGTCATTCTCACGGTTCTGCAATGTAACAATCCACCAGACACCAGCACACGAGCTAATTCCATTGCTCCACCTCCGCAGCTGACGTACTGACATGCATTGCTAAAATAAAATAATTGATCTCCTTCCAACACATATCCTAATCAGAAGGAGAATAAGTATGTATACTTTATAGTTTGTATAAATAATGAATACTAGCCTATAGCACTTCCAAGGACGGGTGTATTTCAGTAAATCTGAAACATTCAAGTGAAAAGACAGACTGCGACGTGATATATTCATTGCATCAATGCACGTGCAATTTGTAGGCGCGCGGTGACACATACTTATTTAATTTTAAGGTTATAATCCCTTGTTCATCACGACGTCCTTTTTACTTTGATGTCTCAACAGCGTGACGGAGATCACGTGACGTGAGGGTTCTGCCTTTGTAGTGAGGGTTGTGAGTTGATACTGAGGAGGGGGGAGGAGGCCCCCCCCCCACCATGTGGAGTGACGTCACCCGCTCATGATTATTAATGAGGGGGGGGGGTCCACGTAGTGGACGTCACCTGTTCATGATTATTAATGAAGGGGGGATGTTCGATGTGGAGTGACGTCACCTGCCCATGATTATTAATGAGGGGGCGGGGGGGGCTCCTTTGGAGTGACGTCTCGCGCGGGACACACACTCTTGGTTTGCATTACTAATAGGATACAATGAACACATTTTAAGTCAAAATAAGCCACAAGTTATGAATTGCATCTTGTAAGAGGGCTGTCATCAGCAAAGTACTTTGTACTGATGCATATGTCACAGTACATGGCACCAGCAATTGTGTTAAATACACAATTTTACATTACATGACTCAATCTACATGATCCAGTTTTGAAGAAGCCAACTTCGGCGTTATTCTAATCGCTGTGATGGTAGCGACTGGGCCAGCACTGCCCCGTCACGGTCTCCGCGGGGTGCTACGTTTAACACGCTGCTCGCTATAGGCGGCACAGGGCACGCAGAACTCAAGTTTGCCTCTGCACACATATATACTTTTGAGTCCACCTTCCTATTAGTTTAGCAGCTTAATATTATCAAGCAGAATTTGTTTACGAAAGCAGTCAGCCTGTTAAACAAATTCTGCTGATTACCGGATCTTCTTGACAAGAGTACATTTAACCGGTGGACATGTGACTGAGTCACACCCAAGGAACTTTGTAAGAGAGTTGCACAGAGTCGTGTCTTAGTGCTCACCGCACTGTTCGACAAGTTTTGGAAGATGGAATTAGAACTTGGCTTGGGCCTCCCCTAAGTGAACGTGGTGTAAAATGAGTATTTTACGTGGTTTGGCCAACATCGTCACCACCTCCTTGTGTGATTTTTCCAGCCTTAATGTGTGCTTACTAACAGCGCTTGTCTCAAATGCCTAGAAGACTGAACTAGGGCATCTTTCTACGGCGTTTTGTCTGTCCTTAAAGGCCTCGTGACAGCCCCGTGAGTGGGTGAACGTACATGCATGTGATTTCATGCAGATGACAGTCTTCGGGCATCTGACGCCGTGGTAGGAAGGGTGTTGATGCAATTCCTCTTTTTCACGGATGCATGCCAACCGCAATTACATGCCAATCCCAGAGTGTAAAGGGTTCATTCAGTTTGTATTACATTGAGTACAGCATTAAAATTAAATGTACAGTATAAAAATGTTGATGCCAATGTACAATAATTCACTTACTCACAATATGTAGTCTTACTTAATGTTTAGGTACCATTGGCGTCTCAGTAGGTTATTGCACGGATGGGTATAATTACAGGAATGTGACTTTTTGAAACGTCTAGATTGAAAGATAAGCACTGTATTAGTTTAAGTGTCCAGGAATCGTGGTGCAAGCCTTTAGTTTCTTGCGGCCCAGAATTGAAACGACGACAACACAACTTCGCATGCCTACTGGGGTGTTGAGATCATTCATGCGCACCACAGCATTCTAATCTTCTAGCGAATGGCAAAGCACACGTCCAACTTTTGAGTCTGCGATCCAGGCGATAGCTTCGGGAGTAGCCGCCGCGACTAACACCGCTCAGTCCGCGCCGGAGATCGGGCGGAGGATGCAGAGTTGTTCGCGATACGGCTTCCATTGCCTGGTTCGGGTGGCCACAGTCACACCCTGGGTTGGCTTCGATTCTCCACATGCGATGGAGGTGTGGGCGCAGCGACTAGTTGCTGTTCTGAAGCGATCGATGGGCGCACCGTGACTTTTTTGGTACATCAACCCGCGCGGAGCAAGTCTTTTGAAGGGGCCAGCACAGCAATGTTCTCCCTGTGCGTGTATTTTCATTCACCACTTCCATCTTCCACCTGTCACCAAAACGAATACAGGTTAGGCAAACAATTTCACAATACCCTGGCTGGTCTGGCCGAGGAGCATGAACCCGTCACGCGACCTCCGTCATCCTCGCAGCGGCTTTTGGCGAACCATCAAAGACGGCCACTGCATCGCGCGCTTTCAGATGCCCTTCCGAAACGCTCTTCCTTTCGATTTTAGGAAGCCACTGGAGCTATGCACATTTAAATCATGCAGATTGAAAACTAATTTATTTAGAACTGCTTGTGATCCGTTTTTTTGTCCTTCTCTCGCACCTCCGATTAGCACGGTAGGCTACGTACGGTGCGAAAGAAGTTGAACACACGTTCGGCACAAATCTTCCCCAAAACAAGTTTGGAAGCAAAATAAAAGGCTTCCCCTGGGGGCAATGCAACAGCACTAAAGAACCTCGTACACTGTATGATAACGGTTACAGCAGTGTATATAAAACACAATGCGCAACTGGAAGCAACATATCCTCGCTATGAGGATGTGCCAAGAACGCCCCGACCCTCCCCACGCATCATCGCTGTAAATGACGAACTGTGTAAGCCACGTGGAGAGTGACCTGGACGGAACACGTGCTAGCTGTGCGGGCAGGGTTTGAAGGCTTGCGTTGTTGATAAGAGCTCGCGGTTGGTGGCCGCTGTGTGTTTGTGCTTCGGGGGTTTGGGTGTACCGTGTGGTATTTGGTCATCTGGCAGTGTCAGCTGCCCCTGGCCCTAGCTTCTCTTGTCTAAAAGTCACGCGGTAATGTGTGCCTGAATGCACGCCTCTGTGCCTCTGTTTAAAAAAAAAACAATAGTAATGAGATAATTATTTTAAACCGCAGAGCAAGTCTGTTAAGAGTTAGTGTTCTCCATTCAGACGGCGTCTGCGGACCGATCCTGTCATACGTAGGCCAAGGGTTTCATTAACCGTTTATAAACAGTATAAAGTTATCGAAGAGTACACAGCATGAATCATTGTCGCTTATCTTGTGGTCGTGGTCGTCTGTATCGGCGGGCGGGACACGTGGTTCGGACTATGGACAACTGCCCGCTACGCGTTTTCTGCTGCTGGTAACAATAATAATGATGATGATGATTTAGAGATTATCACTCGAGCAAAGCTTGTGGGCTCAGATAAAGCGGCCCTGTGTGTGTGTGTTGACACGGGCAATTGCGAAAACCGCTCCCATTAACTCTCCCCACCATCGTCACGTGGGACGAGGAGAGGACGTCCCTCTCTCAGAGTGAGGGCTACACGGTATTTAAAAAGTGCCAACATTATTTATTATTGACGACCGACTCGGAGTTTTGCGACTATTGCAGCGGGCACGCAGCTGTCATGTGAATCAAGATGCTTTCAATATATATCGGTAGTTTACGCGGTATTTAATCCGACAGTGCCGTAATCGATAATAATAATACGACCTTTTAATTGTAATTTACATTCGTAAGCGTACCGCTGCCTGCGTGTAGTGCAATTCTTTAAAACAAGCCACAACGTGAAAGTAAAATAGTGAGCCAGGCCACAGCTGCTGTGTGACAGACATCACCCCCCCCCCACCATCAACATCTCACACAGACACACAGTCAGTCAACATCTCACACAGACACAGTCAACATCTCACACACACAGACACACAGCCAACATCTCACACAGACACACAGCCAACATCTCACACGGACACACAGTCAACATCTCACACAGACACACAGCCAACATCTCACACAGACACACAGCCAACATCTCACACAGACACACAGTCAACATCTCACACAGACACACAGCCAACATCTCACACAGACACACAGTCAACATCTCAGACAGACACACAGCCAACATCTCACACAGACACAGTCAACATCTCACACAGACACAGCTAACATCTCACACACACAGTCAACATCTCACACAGACACACAGTCAACATCTCACAAAGTCAACATCTCACACAGACACACAGTCAACATCTCACACAGTCAACATCTCACACAGACACACAGTCAACATCTCACACAGACACACAGCTAACATCTCACACACAGTCAGCCAACATTTCACACACACAGTCAGCCAACATTTCACACACACAGTCAACATTTCACACACACAGTCAGCCAACATCACACACACAGACACACAGCTAACATCTCACAAACACAGACACACAGCCAACATCACACACAGACAGCCAACATCAAACACACACAGAGCCAACATCACACACTGACAGTCAGCCAACATCACACACACTGACAGTCAGCCAACATCAAACACACACAGAGCCAACATCACACACACACACTGACAGTCAGCCAACATCACACACACTGACAGCCTTGCGGCGGCGGCGGCAGAATAGTCGGGAGAATGAAACAAAAGGAGCCATCCGGCGATGGTGTTGAAGGAGCCGCCGCTACCACTGCTGCTGCTACCACTGCTGCTGCTGGTGGTGGTGATTATGGTGGTGGTGATTATGGTGATGGTGGTGGGGACGGTGCCGCCGGGAACTCGGATCGCTGTGACCCCTCGCCGAGCCGGGACGTGTCGGGGCTCGGCGAGACGCGGCTCTTCCGGCGTCGCTGGGTCATCGTCTTCGTGTTCAGCGCCTACTCGCTCACGAGCGCCTTCCAATGGATACAATACGGCATCATCAACAACATCTTCGCCGGGTGAGCAGCGGGCGGGCGGGCGGGCGGGCGAGAGTCGTGCCGTGACCATACTTCAACAGCACTTGTCCCTACAGTCCGTTAAGGCTATACGGGGGACCTTTGTCTTTGTGACCATACTTCACCGCCGCGCTGGTTCACGGCGCGCCTTTACCCACGTAGTGACGATGCGGGGATAATTCGATCGTCCGAGTCGGGCGTCTCGCACGTGTCCGCCTGCGATCGATGATGCCGCCGCCACCACCACCACGTGTTGTTGTTCGCTGGGTCATTCTGCCGGTCGAGATGAAGAGCATTTAATTTAATCGTTAACGTACTGCCTATGAATGGTGACTAGTAAGTCGATTAGTTCCTACAATTCCACGTGATGCGTGCTCACTGCTCACACGCACGCACACATGACGTGTGTGTGTGCTCACACATCATGTGTGTGAGCACACACACACGTTGTGTGTGTGTGCTCACACAGACACACACATGATGTGTGTGTGTGCTCACACACACAGACACACACACGTTGTGTGCTCAAACACACACATGGTGTGTGTGTGTCTGTGTGTGTGCTCACACACACACAGACACACACGTGTGCTCACACACACACATGATGTGTGTCTGCGTGAGCGCCAGTAGAGAGCGGTGGTGCAGCGGTTGGCGCGCGTTGCACAATGAACCCGGTGATCCGAATTCGTTCCCGCTCACGGCCACCACCAACACCCCAGCGACGATTATCTGAACTGGTCCTGGGCCTCCCCTAGGTCAACTCAGCCTCTAATGAGTACCTGCTGCGGTGTGTAAACATCGCCACTGGGGAGACAAAGGCGGCCGGGCGTCGTGCTGGCCACCCACCTCGTGTGCCGTACCGGCTTTCGTAGGCACTACTCGCTAGCATTCAGATGGTAAACATTAGCCTACATACACAGTATGTAGCCTACATACACAGTATGTAGCCTACATAAACAGTATGTAACCTACATACACAGTATGTAACCTACATACACAGTATTTAGCCTACATACACAGTATGTAACCTACATACACAGTATGTAGCCTATATAAACAGTATTTAGCCTACATACACAGTATGTAGCCTACATACACAGTATGTAGCCTACATAAACAGTATGTAACCTACATACACAGTATTTAGCCTACATACACAGTATGTAGCCTACATACACAGTATGTAGCCTACATACACAGTATGTAGCCTACATAAACAGTATGTAACCTACATACACAGTATTTAGCCTACATACACAATATTTAGCCTACATGCACAGTATGTAGCCTACATAAACAGTATGTAACCTACATACACAGTATTTAGCCTACATACACAATATTTAGCCTACATGCACAGTATGTAGGCTACATACACAGTAGCGTAGGTTACATACTGTGTACACAGTATGTAGGCTAATGAGATTATAAACATTATGTAGGATGTTTATAATCTGTATTATTGGTAGTTATATTACCGATACCCCAATTAAACCCTCATATTGCGCATAAGTAAGAAAAACCGCGATAGGGAATGCATCCCCATATGTACAACGGGATGACGACCCCTCTTAGCGGCGATCGATTGGCACTCACTCCTCCAGGAACGCGTCTTGATCTCTAAGCGAGGTCTAAGTGTGTATATAATGTCACGTGGCCACTTGTACAAACCAACTTGAGTGATCATTTTCTCTAAACGTATCATTTACATCTGTCGCAACACAATTTAAGTTGCGATGAAGTCACCCACTGGTGCTGGTAACATACAGCTCGTATTTCATTTCAGTTAAAAAATTTGAATCAACTTCTAACAGTTTTCCCGCTCAACTTATCCTGAGCCGTAGTCTTTTACAAAGATAAAGGTACGGGCCCTGCAACTGCTTGCACACACCACTGTTGGCAGAAGAGCCTCCATTAATTGGGAGCTCTGGACAGCCCGTCTTGAGGATATTTGGCCTACTCTTCCATGCTGACTTGCCGATCCATTTATATTATTGGGTGGCCAAGAGCCGGGTGGTCTACGACATGAACTTGCCACGGCAGGAGAACGAACCGACCACCTCTGCTGCCCCTTGTGCCATGGCAGGAGCTCAGCCTTTCAAGAACCAGGGACATTCTATGGCAGTGTTCTGCATTCCTTTAGTGCGACAATACAGAAATAATTTTGATTTAAAGCTTTCGTGACTGCAGTAATTCATATTCTTAGCTCTTTCGGTAAAGTCACGTTGAAGGGAAACAATAAAATAATAAAAAAAATATAAAACAAAATATTCAAATATATAACAATTGTTTTATATATATTTTATTATTGTATTGTTTCCCTTCAACGTGACTTTACCGAAAGAGCTAAGAATATGAAATACAGAGAGTGAAAACACCCCCATCATCGTCATCTTGCTGCTGTCAACCCCCCCCCCCCACTGGTTTCAAACGAGTGGCGGCCCTCACACTGGTAATGTCTTATCGGCGAAGTGTCCCCCCTCTGAAAATCAGTGAAGAACACTGTTCTACAGATTGTGTCTCTGCATGCTAATGCAGCCAGCCAGCTACTGCTACCCCGTGCCAAATACACGTTCCTCTCAGTGGGCTAAATACGAGTCATTGATTCACTCATTGACAGACGTCACTTGTGCTTGGAAAGAGTAGGTACAAAGGCGTTGTGCCTGTTGCATGCATGCCAAGTTAGCACAGAGTTCATGTAGAACGCTACTTCTTTAGAGTCGCCACCTTTAACCACAGACCAAACCCAGACACATTTGGTCAGCCTAGGGCAGGGATCGGCAACCAAAATAACAAAAAGAGCCATTTTTTCGAATTCGGTAAAAAAAACCCCTCAATATTTCAAGAGCCGCAATGCCACGTGAATATTAGACGGTGGTCCTTAATAAACAACGTCGCGAAGCAGTCCTTGAAGAGGCGCGTGAGGCTCAGGAGCAGCACCTGTCCACGGTATTCTAATGAAGTTCAATGCAATACCCGTACCAGATCTTGGTACTCATGAGTTGCTTGTCACCCAATTCCTGAAGTGTCCGGGCCAAACCCTGCCAGGTGTCAACCCCATTCTAGTTGCTGTACTGCACTTTAGTTTGTTACCAGGAGTGATTCACACGCAGGTGACGACCATCAGCACCACACAGTACTGTTTTCAAGATTTGCAGTGATGGCCTCCCTCTGCTTAGCCTGTTGGCTGGCTCCAGTTTCATTTGGTATTCAGCCTCTGGGCTGGTTCCACTTTTAAGTGGCTTGTCCATAATTCTGCCACTTCTTTACGGTGATCTCCCCTTCCAACTTCAATCCTGCCTGTGTTTGCACTCCTGCATCTGTGGAACGGTAACGAAGTGGCTTTGTGCACGGTTCTGTGAACCCAACGACCCGAGTTCAATTCCGTGCCGAGGCTACCATCAGTGGCTAGTGACATCTGAAGCGGCCCTCCCTTCACCACCCCGCACTCACCAGCATGGTAAAAGTATATCCTAACAACCCTTATGACCGAGATGGGGTGGCCGTCATCCATGGGTGCATTGACAAACGGCTGTACATTTATTTATATCTCTCTTGCTATCTGGACATTTATGGCCTGTTCCCCAATCTGCTTTCCCTTCATCCGCCCTCATCATACCTTCTAGCAAGCTGCTGCCTCTCGCGATGCGCCCCATCCAATCCTGTCTCTGAATTCCACTCACCTTAATTACCCCGGCCGCTTGTTACCTGCCAATACTTATCGTTAGAGCCCCGTTGTCTCTCTGTCCAGCCTAAGTGATGCACAATGGCCATCGATGTTGGAATGCCTCATTCGTGCATGAACCTTGCCGCTGCTGCACCTCTTTATCCCAGCGGCGGTGAGGAATAACTCCTCATCGTCGTTGTGAGTCATCGCAGCTCCCTCTTCCATTCCAGCCGAGTGATTTTTCTACATTGCAAATGAAAACGTTCACAGTAGCATGTATGTTCAGGGTGGTCCAGATGTCATGTGACCCCCCCCCAAATTAATCGACCCCTGAGCTAAGCAATTGAGAATATTTGTTTTGTTTACACCATGACCGATGATTACATGACAACACATTGTGTGCTCGTGTGGCAATGGCTCACATTTCTGGTAGCCTCCTCCAACCGTAGTGCAATAGACACCATGATGTGCACGTTCTACGTGCAAGATAACCTCCATGGGTCCATAATAGCTTCATAAGACAGGGGTGTCGGAACTTCTTGCTCATTCCATACTCTGCACACACACAAAACGTACCGTACATACAGCAGAGTACTGAAGTATACAGCAGAGTACTGAAGTATACAGCAGTACTGAAGTATACAGCAGAGTACTGAAGTATACAGCAGAGTACTGAAGTATACAGCAGTGCTGAAGTATACAGCAGTGTACTGAAGTATACAGCAGAGTACTGAAGTATACAGCAGAGTGCTGAAGTATACAGCAGTGCTGAAGTATACAGCAGAGTACTGAAGTATACAGCAGAGTACTGAAGTATACAGCAGAGTGCTGAAGTATACAGCAGTGCTGAAGTATACAGCAGAGTACTGAAGTATACAGCAGAGTAGTGAAGTATACAGCAGAGTGCTGAAGTATACAGCAGAGTGCTGAAGTATACAGCAGAGTACTGAAGTATACAGCAGTGCTGAAGTATACAGCAGAGTACTGAAGTATACAGCAGAGTAGTGAAGTATACAGCAGAGTGCTGAAGTATACAGCAGAGTACTGAAGTATACAGCAGAGTGCTGAAGTATAAAGCAGAGTACTGAAGTATACAGCAGAGTACTGAAGTATACAGCAGAGTGCTGAAGTATACAGCAGTGCTGAAGTATAAAGCAGTGCTGAAGTATACAGCAGAGTACTGAAGTATACAGCAGTGCTGAAGTATACAGCAGAGTACTGAAGTATACAGCAGTGCTGAAGTATACAGCAGAGTACTGAAGTATACAGCAGAGTACTGAAGTATACAGCAGTGCTGAAGTATACAGCAGAGTACTGAAGTATACAGCAGAGTAGTGAAGTATACAGCAGAGTACTGAAGTATACAGCAGTGCTGAAGTATACAGCAGAGTACTGAAGTATACAGCAGAGTACTGAAGTATACAGCAGTGCTGAAGTATACAGCAGTGCTGAAGTATACAGCAGTACTGAAGTATACAAGAGTGCTGAAGTATACAGCAGTGCTGAAGTATACAGCAGTGCTGAAGTATACAGCAGAGTAGTGAAGTATACAGCAGAGTGCTGAAGTATACAGCAGAGTACTGAAGTATACAGCAGAGTGCTGAAGTATACAGCAGTGCTGAAGTATACAGCAGTGCTGAAGTATACAGCAGTACTGAAGTATACAGCAGTGTACTGAAGTATACAGCAGAGTACTGAAGTATACAGCAGAGTAGTGAAGTATACAGCAGTGCTGAAGTATACAGCAGAGTGCTGAAGTATACAGCAGTACTGAAGTATACAGCAGAGTACTGAAGTATACAGCAGTACTGAAGTATACAGCAGTGTACTGAAGTATACAGCAGAGTACTGAAGTATACAGCAGAGTAGTGAAGTATACAGCAGTGCTGAAGTATACAGCAGAGTGCTGAAGTATACAGCAGAGTACTGAAGTATACAGCAGAGTACTGAAGTATACAGCAGAGTAGTGAAGTATACAGCAGTGCTGAAGTATACAGCAGTACTGAAGTATACAGCAGTGCTGAAGTATACAGCAGAGTACTGAAGTATACAGCAGAGTGCTGAAGTATACAGCAGTGCTGAAGTATACAGCAGAGTACTGAAGTATACAGCAGTACTGAAGTATACAGCAGAGTACTGAAGTATACAGCAGTACTGAAGTATACAGCAGAGTAGTGAAGTATACAGCAGAGTAGTGAAGTATACAGCAGTGCTGAAGTATACAGCAGAGTACTGAAGTATACAGCAGAGTACTGAAGTATACAGCAGAGTACTGAAGTATACAGCAGAGTACTGAAATATACAGCAGAGTACTGAAGTATACAGCAGAGTACTGAAGTATACAGCAGAGTACTGAAGTATACAGCAGTGCTGAAGTATACAGCAGAGTGCTGAAGTATACAGCAGTACTGAAGTATACAGCAGTACTGAAGTATACAGCAGAGTGCTGAAGTATACAGCAGAGTAGTGAAGTATACAGCAGTACTGAAGTATACAGCAGAGTAGTGAAGTATACAGCAGAGTAGTGAAGTATACAGCAGAGTACTGAAGTATACAGCAGAGTGCTGAAGTATACAGCAGAGTAGTGAAGTATACAGCAGTACTGAAGTATACAGCAGTGCTGAAGTATACAGCAGTGCTGCTGCCTTGATTCTATATTTAAATGCTGCCTTGGAATCTATAACAGCAACATGCTGCATCAACATCCTGTCACAGATTATGTTTCCTGCAACATTGGACAGCAGTGCATTTACAATGGGTCCTAAAATCTTATTATTGTACAGTAGTTTATAATAATTAATTATACAGCACTGTCGGCGACATTTTATTTGGGCTAACCACAATTAGTTGCATATGTTTGACTCCTTGGAGTGGTGCGATTTGTTGGTGCAATTTATGTATCTGTGAAAGCTACTGGACGTATGTAAAAAATAGCTTTATAGCTCATCAGATTCCTCCAGTATAAATACATATTCTGATGTACGTTGAACTTTTTTCACCCCGTACGTAGGCATGTGTCTCGGCTCACCCATCTGATTTGCCTCAACATTCACGCTGTGACCCCCTGTTGATCTAACCAGCGCAACTAGCCAAGGGTAAAGACAATGAATCTGACAGCGCCTTGCTGACATCGCAATACAGGATGGGACATTAACAGCGTGGCACGAGTTGGGAGCGGACCGTGCACTATCGTTGCCGCAGCGCTTACTACCTCCACGTTTCGTGACCCTCCCATTGATGTCAGCCTGCCGTTTGGTCTCGAGCGTGTCACTATGTGAAGCAGTCTGAAAGTCTTCTCAGGTTTCCTGGAAGGCCAATTGCTATCCCACCCTGTGTGTCAACTAAGTAAATAAACCCTTGAAAGTTTTTTTTTTCCAAATAGAAGGCTGGAAGTTGATTTGTTAAATTTTATGTAACTGGAGAGCCTGGATGTTTCTACTAAGTGCTCTGCCACTCATTTTAGTCTGCAGCTCATACCGAGGGATTCATATTTCATGCAACAAAAAATGCATTGCCTCAAAGTCGGCATCAGGCTGACAAGGTACAACAGACCTGCATCCTGCTTACTGTGTGGCATCCCGTGAATGTTTGCCACCGAATGGGCGCACACTTTTGGGTAATTCAACTGGTAATGGGTTATTGAACGAGCAGCTCACATGCTAATTGCTGTGACCACTTTGATGTGCTTGATTGGTATTCGACTGTCATCTAAAGATCAAAGTCTCAACATGAGCAACGTTGGCCAAAGCATTAACCAGCTTACTCAGGTTAATTGGAATACTTGAAAAGGGAGGGCTGAGCTATTAGCAAGGCAGAGTTGCTCAGCCCCCTGTACCCCCTCCGACGCTACGGGGCTGATGATGGGCACCACGGGAGCGAGATGTTAACCACATCGTCTGGTACACAGATGTTGTGGGTTCGATCCCGACCCTGACACCTGTATATCTGGAGTTTGCGTGTCTCCCTCCCCGTGGTCGCGTGGATTTTTCTCCGGGTCCTCCGGATTTTTCCTCGACATTTAAAATCAACATCACGCGTTTATAGTATTTGGCTGCTTTACATTTTCACGCAATAAACCACTCCGTTGAGCTGTCATTTGTGGCCAGGTCGCTTCTACATTTGTGGCCAGGTCGCTTCTACATAGCTCAGTGGGCCTTACCTGGTAAAATAAAAATAGTTTCGTTGCGAGTTTAGTTCATGATAATGATGATGTCGTTGATTGCGATGACGTCCCCGTCGTTGCAACGTCGGCCCGGCAGCTACTACGACGTGAGCACCACGGACGTGGACTGGCTGTCCATGGTCTACATGCTCTGCTACATCCCGCTCATCTTCCCGTCCGCGTGGCTCCTGGACACCCGCGGCCTGCGCCTCGTGGCGCTGCTCGGCTCGTTCCTCAACTGCGTGGGCGCGTGGGTGAAGACGGCCAGCGTGAGGCCGCATCTGTTCGGCGTCACCGTGTTCGGCCAGCTCACGTGCGCCATTGCCCAGGTCTTCATCCTGGGCCTCCCGTCTCGCATCGCCTCCGTCTGGTTCGGCTCCGGGGAGGTCTCCACCGCATGCTCCATTGGAGTCTTCGGCAACCAGGCGAGTTCTCACCTCGGACACGTTTTTGTTATTGGCACATCGGGTCACCACCTATGCGTTTGTGCACTCACACGGTATAATTACCCGCCTTTGACCAAAATTACCCGAAAATGCCCCCGATTTCTTTAGATGTCGGAATCCAGAGTTTTTATATTCTCGCCTTGTCTCTATTCCATTGAAGTTCAATGTATGCACATATATAGTCCTTTTTGCAATCAACGGCCGAATTAGGGTCTGCCCACACCTTGCGAGCAGTGCGAGTTGTTTGGCCATATTTAGCCACGCTGGTCAGTGTTGGCTGCATGGTTGATGGCTGGGAACAAAGATGTGGAAGGGCAGAAATATAGAATGGAAATATGCTCTAGCGCCCTCTATAGACCCACCACGTCGCCCCACATGCGTGAAAACTGTTGTGTGTGTGGATCACCCATCCAGTCACCTAGCAGGCTCAACCCTTCCAAGATCCAACGAGATTGAGGTTATTCCGGTTGGTTTAGTCCCAGGCTGTGTACATGAGGGTCTTGTTAATTGTGGGTGGCATCCTGAATTTGAATCCAAGCTCTCCAAAGTGGTTGCCCAGTGCTACGCCATGGGTTGCCCCTTATGGGTACTGTGAGACACCCAGACACCACTGCACTACTGCCAGCGCAATCCCTTGATGTATATATTGTATATATGCATATGAAGATTGATGTTTTTTGTGTGAATATGTACACTCTTAGAGCACTGTCTGCTTTGGAAATACAACGGACATGCAGCCTTATTCATCACACACATCGTACAATACACGAAGGCAAAGTTTGTCTCACTGAGCCTCACGCACGTTAACCCTAGCCAAGCCCTTAGCTTGCCGTTTGCAGTGAGCCACATGATTAAGCAGATATGAATGTTTTCAGTCAACTTTCCGCCCATCCCTCTGCCCGCTTGTCTATCAGCGACTTGTTGTTTTAACCTAAAACACATTGACCCGGAGGTTGACCTCGGGTTATTCATTATGGACGTTGTCTGCATGCTTAGTGACCCCAGTTGCAAGTGTCCTGTAATTCTGTTGTGGTCAACACGACATTTACAACAGCGCGTGCTGGACCTCAAGGTCTTATTATTGCTGTGGCCGCGCTGCACAGTAGCTGATTTTGCAGGCTCCACGTGACTCTGTCGTCGGATCAAATATCCTTTCGCGGAGAAAACTATGAACTCTTTAAGTAATCGATTACTACACCGGTTATCGGTTCGACTTACTCGACATAATCAGATCACACGAAAATAGCTGTGGGGGGGGGGGGGGGTATCACCTCCGTTGACCACGTGTGCCGTTGGACGGTGACATTGAGGGTTTTATTTGTCAAGAGTTCGTTACGAGTTGGCTTATTTTACGTTAAGCACTATGAGGCCCTGCATGCATATGTTAAACTTCTTGTGCATCGTACGTAGCCGACCGTGCTAAGCGGAGGTGCGGATGGTGCTGAATAAAATCAAGTTGCAGTTAGCGATGTGTGGAGCTTGGTGACATCAGTATTATAGCCCTTACAGACTGTTGGGGCAAGCGCTGTTAGCGAGCACCTATGAAGGCCGGCACGGCACACGTATGCAGAGGCAGTATAAGAACACGCCCGACCGCCTTTGTCTCCCGAGTGGCACTGTTTCCACATCGCACCAGGTACTCATTTTAAGCTGAGTCGACCTACGGGAGGCTCAGGACCACTTCGGATAATCGTCACTGGTGTTGGCCGTGAGCGGGAATCGAACTCGGGTGGACGAGTTCGTAGCGCAGTGCACTGACCACTGCACCACCGCTCCCCCCCCCACGTACGCAGAGGCAGTAGAAATATAGTTTACTTGTTAGCGTGGAGATGAGCGTTATACCCTCATATGCACGTACATTCTGCAGGCCCTACATTTTCCTCCCGCACGAAACAAAAACAACACGCAGCACGTGTAACAGTCGGAGAAGAGAAGGTTTTTATTGTGCCAAGAGAAAAACATCTGGCAGAACGTTGCAAATCAAGACCCCCCCCCCTTTCACCCACCCGATAAATGTGTCTCGTGACCGAGTGAATGGTTTATATTTTGTTTTAATTAAGGGAGTTGAAAAGTATCCTGCTCTCTAGATAATGGCGCAAATCAGTGCGTAGGCGGTAGTGCTGATAATTCAGTATTAATAGACGTCTGTCTGGTGTGATTTTAACGAGAAATGTAATGAATAACTAATTATTCGAAACTGGCATGGGCCTTTGTTAATGGTTTGTCATGAGGATTATGCTTACAAGTGTGGCATACAAATTCCAGCCGTGTGATCTCACAACCAGACATTATTGTATTTATGTATTAACATTCCGTTCTCGTTTCCTCATGGAGATAACTAACAAATTAGATATACCTTATTAAAACGAGCTTGGTCTTTTTCATTTATAATGGCCAACAAAAATCCTTACGGCTAAAATCTGATGCGTAATCAGTGGCAATTCTCTATACGACTGCATTGGTTTTGGCAGTTGCGCCGTATGGCTCTCCGATGAGGAAACCGTAGCACGTGGGGGGAAACGTCGGACATCGTGCCGAACAGCATGCGGCACGACTCGAAAACACATGGGAGAGTTACTCAGTACAAAACAAAGACGTCACAATTCTGTGCGGTATGACCCCGGTCGGTGCACATTAAGCCATTTCCCGTGTCCGAGACAATTGCAGTGGGTGGTGTCCGAGTCAATTGCAGTGGGTGGGTGTCCGAGACATTTGCAGTGAGGGGTGTCCGAGATAATTGCAGTGGGTGTCCGAGACAATTGCAGTGGGTGGTGTCCGAGACATTTGCAGTGAGGGGTGTCCGAGACAATTGCAGGGTGGTGTCCGAGATAATTGCAGTGGGTGTCCGAGACAATCGCAGGGTGGTGTCCGAGATAATTGCAGTGGGTGTCCGAGACAATTGCAGTGGGTGGTGTCCGAGACAATTGCAGGGTGGGTGTCCGAGACATTTGCAGTGAGGGGTGTCCGAGATAACTGCAGTGAGGGGTGTCCGAGACAATTGCAGTGGGTGGTGTCCCCCCGTTCACCCCTGAATCTCGGAACGCGCAAGAGGCTCGGCGTTAATTTTATTTAGAGAGGCGTGGTAGCGCCGCCGTTTTTAAAGACTTCGTACTCATTGCAGAGAACTGTCGCGACACGACCGCACTCCACGATTGCTGATGCCAAACTTTGCCACACGCCCTAACACATGGCCTTGTGGGAGCCTCGGTACCGATAAAGTTATTTTATTGTATCTTCCGGGAAAGGGTTAAAATGGGAATGGTGAGAAGCCAAATGTTTGCCGGTGTTGGCTTTTGCATGCAGTGTTGAGTATAATTATTTGTCAGGTCTTGCAGGAATCACATTCGGTTCCTATGCTTCCACCCGGAACGCTTCCACCCTTCATAGCTCATCGGATTTCTCCAGGATAAATATTCTTACGATTCATCCATACGATCATTGGGTTTTATTGCGTAGTTTTCGTGGGACCTTCATCCAGAACTGTATTCACAGCCATCGCCAACAACCACAGTACTGTACAGCATGCGGTACAACCCGAGAATACTTTGGAGAGCAACCCGTATGTCTATCCCTTTTGGGCCTGTGTGGTCATTAACTGTGAGGACGACGACGATGATGGTGATGAGAAACAAAACCAATGGTACCGGACACCATAGGTGTTGACTCGGTGGGAGTGAGCGTGCCCGTCGAGTTTCACCTCCCACCGGTGCTTCGTCTCGGCAGCTTGGCGTTGCAGTGGGGTTCCTTCTGCCGCCCATGCTGGTGCCCGCCTCGGACGACAAGGAGGCGCTGAGCTACCACATCCGCGTCATGTTCTTCGGCACGGCGGCCATCGCCACCGCGCTCTTCGTCATCGTGCTGCTCGGTACGGGGGTGGCACCGGGCACGCAAACGCTCTTGGGAATTACACTTTGAAGCGGAGCGTTGTGGCCGTTGCCGTTTCACAAAGCTCTGCGGTGTCCCCATCTCCTGTGGAGTCGCCCACTTCTCCGAGGACAGGACACAACGCCGAGTATCTAGTCAGCGTCTCCCGACTCGGTTATTTTAGCCGTCTCTTCCGTCGACGTGTCGCCACACCGTCCACTGCCGTGAGTGGTTTTCTCCGTCGTGCCGTGTCTCGAGATTTGTTCCTGGCCACAAAGGTGACATCCGAACTGTTCCCGCGTGGCGCCTTCACCAAACCCTCACTGACCATCGTGGTGAAGTATGGTCAAACGGCTTCCACGATTGACACGGCATTTAGAGACCTTCATCCAGCAGTGCATCGAAACAGTGCTCTTAAAATACGTGATCATTATTATTATGTTCATAATGGGGGGTGGTCTGGTCACTACATAATGCCTAACCTGGTTTGTCTTTAACATCGATGCAGATCGCACCTCACAAGTTCCTCATTTTCGGCTGAGTCACATTCCGTGTTCTTATACCAATTGCCACTTTTGTTGTTGTTGTTGTTGGGTAGTGGCCCAGAACTTGACCGGTGCCACGGGAATCATGGTGCCATGAGGGAACCACGACTACGTCAACACCGCGTGCGCTCTGTGTGTGTGTGGGAAGCGTTCGTGTCGCGTTTAGCGCTCTGTGCGATGAACCCGGTGACCCGAGATCGATCCCGTTTCACGGCCAACACCAGGGACGATTATGTGAACCGGTCTTGGGCCTCTCTTCGTGTTAACTCAGCCTCAAATGAGTATCCGGTGCGATGTGTAAACATCGCCACTGGGGAGACAAAGACGGTCGGGCTTGGTGCTGGCCACCCACCCCCGAGCGTGCCGTGCCGGCCGTCATAGGTGCTACTCGCTAGCAGCGCTTGCCTCAACAGTCTGTTCAGGCTATGCGGGGGATCTTCGTCTTGTTTTTATGTTTGCGTGTGCAAGCAGTGGTGAAGTGGTTAGTGCACCTGTGCAGAAGTCCCGGCGACCCGGTGTCATTGCTGGCCATGGACATCATCAGTGGCAAATGCTTCCTGAAACTGTCGTGGGCTACACCCAGGTTGGCTCAGCCTTAAACGGTCACCTGGCATGGTGTGTCATCAGCATTGCAGATATCAAGGGCAGACGGTTGTGATTCTGGTCACGCTTAACTGCTTGTGCACCCTGCCACCCTTAATGGACGGGTCACTCATTTACAGCAATGCCATCGATGGGTCTGCATTTGCTTCACACGAGATCTCTGCGTGTGCCGTCTGTGTGTGTGCTCAGTGTTCAGGGAGGAGCCACCCGTGGCACCAAGCCAAGCGCAGGCCATGCGCAGGCAGAAGAGACGGAGCGATTACTCGTACTGGCAGTCGATCCAACGGCTGCTTACCAACAAAGCCTTTGTGCTTCTCATCATCACGTATGGTCAGAGCTCCCTTACATGTCACGGTCAGGCCTTTGTTATCATCGTCATCATCATCATCAGTGTCATCATGATCATTATTACTATCCCCATCATTATCATTCTTACCATGATCATTATGAAGATCATTTACATGATCTTATCATCTTGATCATCATCAGTGTTATCGTTATCATGATCTTCATTATGATAATTATCCCCATCATGATTAATTACATCAATATACAGTGAGGGAAAAAAGTATTTGATCCCCTGCTGATTTTGTATGTTTGCCCACTGACAAAGAAATGATCATTCATAATAAAGGTTTTTGGGTTAGATCGCGTTTATTTATAAATGTGTCGTAACCCTCCACCACCCGACACGGCCAATCAGCAAAGAAAAGTGTCACGTTGACAAAAGACAAATAATTCACTACTTCAGCCCACCGGTGTGTTGAAGAGTTAATCCACATTTACAGTTTGAGTACGACGTTTCGCTGGTAAATACTTCCAGCATCATCGGGCAATTCGCCAGAATGGTAAAGCCCTCGCTTGCTCCCGGTTTTATATAGAGCAGAAGAGTGACGTCATCACTTAACTCATCAGGTGCAGTGATTAGAGGCGGAGGGGGGGATAATGTAATTATATAATCGATTAGTAATCAGTCATTGGTTATGATTAGTAATGAGTTGTAGATTAGTAATTCTTTAAATCAAAATGTAATGTGTATTATTAATAATACGCGAAAGCCTACGTGTTAAACAAAGAAATGATCAGTCTATAATTTTAATGGTAGGTTTATTTGAACAGTGAGAGGCAGAATAACAACAACAAAATCCAGAAAAACGCATGTCATAAATGTTGTAAATTGATTGGCATTTTAATGAGGGAAATAAGTATTTGACCCCTCTGCAAATTTGGTGGCAAAACCCTTGTTGGCTATCACAGGTCAGATGTTTCTTGTAGTTTGCTACCAGGTTTGCACACATCTCAGGAGGGATTTTGTCCCACTCCTCTTTGCAGATATTCTTCAAGTCATTAAGGTTTCAGGGCTGACGTTTGGCAACTCGAACCTTCAGCTCCTTCCACATATTTTCTATGGGATTAAGGTCTGGAGACTGGCTAGGCCACTCCAGGACCTTAATGTGCTTCTTCTTGAGCTACTCCTTTGTTGCCTTGGCCGTGTGTTTTGGGTCATTGTCATGCTGGAATACCCATCCACGACCCATTTTCAATGCTCTGGCTGAGGGAAGGAGGTTCTCACCCAAGATTTGATGGTACATGACCCTGTCCATCGTCCCTTTGATGCGGTGAAGTTGTCCTGTCCCCTTAGCAGAAAAACACCCCCAAAGCAGAATGTTTCCACCTCCATGTTTGACGGTGGGGATGGTGTTCTTGGGGTCATAGGCAGCATTCCTCCTCCAAACACGGCGAGTTGAGTTGATGCCAAAGAGCTCCATTTTGGTCTCATCTGACCACAACACTTTCACCCAGTTGTCCTCTGAATCATTCAGATGTTCATTGGCAAACTTCAGACGGGCATGTATATGTGCTTTCTTGAGCAGGGGGACCTTGTGGGCGCTGCAGTGTTTCAGTCCGTCACGGCGTAGTGTGTTACCAATTGTTTTCTTGGTGACTATGGTCCCAGCTGCCTTGAGATCATTGACAAGATCCTCCCGTGTAGTTCTGGGCTGATTCCTCACCGTTCTCATGATCATTGCAACTCCACGAGGTGAGATCTTGCATGTAGCCCCAGGCCGAGGTAGATTGACAGTTCTTTTGTGTTTATTCCATTTGCGAATAATCGCACCAACTGTTGTCACCTTCTCACCAAGCTGCTTGGTAATGGTTTTGTAGCCCATTCCAGCGTTGTGTCGGTCTACAATCTTGTCCCTGACATCCTTGGAGAGCTCTTTGGTCTTGGCCATGGTGGAGAGTTTCGAATATGATTGATTAATTGCTTCTGTGGACAGGTGTCTTTTATACAGGTAACAGGCTGAGATTAGGAGCACTCCCTTTAAGAGTGTGCTCCTAATCTCACCTGGGAGCCAGAAATCTTTCTGATTGAGAGGGGGTCAAATACTTATTTCCCTCATTAAAATGCAAATCAATTTATAACATTTTTGACATGCGTTTTTCTGGATTTTGTTGTTGTTATTCTGTCTCTCACTGTTCAAATAAACCTACCATTAAAATTTTAGACTGATCATTTCTTTGTCAGTGGGCAAACGTACAAAATCAGCAGGGCATCAAATACTTTTTTCCCTCACTGTAATCTATGATGACCTTATCGTTATTATGATTATCATTATTATGATCTTATCGTCATGATCATCATTGTCGTCATCATCGGTATAATCATACTTATCGTGCAGCGTGATTGCCTCTGTTGTTTCATGTTGCAGGCATTAACACTGGCTCCTTCTACTCCGTGTCCACACTGCTCAACCCGATGTTCATCCACCATTATCAGGTGCTGCTCCGCTTCACAAGAACTCCAAGCCAGCGGCCGTCAACATCGCTACTTGGATATCAGCAGTAGCTTGAAATTACATTGCATCTGATTGTACTAATTCACCTGGTGCAATGTCACCACCTGCACTGGGATTATAGGAAAGTAGGGCTAGTGCGGTGCTTCTTCCACCTCCCACCATGAGCTGCGTTGGCCTTATTGGATTCCGCTAGCAGCATTCATCTCTGGGATGTAACCAAGCTAACATGTGTGCCAAGGGGAGTGGCAGCATAGTGGCTAGCATGCTACGCTACGAACCCAGCGAGCCGGCTTATGTCAGTCGCGAATATCTGAACCGGTCCCGAACCTACCCTAGGTTGAGTCAGCCTCAAATGAGTACCTGGTGTAGTGTGTACACATCGGTGCGAGGAAGAAAAGGACGGCCGTGGCGTGGTCTTAACCACGCCACCCACTCCCTGGTATGCCGTGCCGGCCTTCACGGGAACGCGGCCCCGATGGCTATCCCGGGCCGTGGCCGTCTTTGTCTTTATCTTGTGCGGTGTGCGTTTCAGGGACAAGAGGTGAATGCCGGTCGCGTGGGGCTGACCATCGTTGTGGCCGGGGTGTTGGGCTCTCTGCTGTGCGGCGTTTGGCTTGATCGAACCAAGAAGTTCAAGTGAGTGTCCCCGTGCGCGTAACGCCGCGAGCCTGGGATAGGTAGCTTCGCGAGCGAATAGGATGCGAATTAAACATTACAATTGTGCGCGTCTGCTTGACGGTAAATGTATACTCATGGAGGCATCCGTAGTTGGATTGTGGGTTCGTAGGATCGCTTTGAAGGTCGTTATCAAGCAGTGGATTGACAAAGGTTGATGATGATGATGCTGCTGCTGATGGGGTCATCAGTAGTGTTCAGTGGTCACTTGCGGTCATCCACACCGATTAGCCAGCATGCAACAACTCAAGAAAATGTCCACTACGTGGAGTGTATCACAGTGTTGTATGCAACGTGCACTTGATCAGGAAAGGAAGACAAAATAAAGACTGGAACGATGTTGGTTATTGTGGCGGATACAAAAAAACATCAGTTTGATTGAGAGAAAAAAGCAAAAAGGGAGTTCTAGAGCAGGCTCAGGAGGAGAGAAGTCATAACTCTAGAATAGCAAAATATTTCGATTAGCAAAATATGTTTTGAAGTAGGCTCTGGAAAGAAGGATGTTTCGAAAGGGACAAATAGGGATCTTATCTTATATAGATTTATAAAGCGCCTTACAATAATTACAAAATTGTACATAAGATGATAGTGGGTTTAAGCGAGAACTGAATGCAGCGTCGTGAAGATGACTGCTCTATGTGCGGTGAAAGTAAATTAGCACAATGCCGTTTGATGACTTTAAGCGGGGCAGCGTGCGTGCGTTGAAATGAAGGCACAAGAACGGCAGCGTGGAATTTGAGCCGAAGCCTTGCCCTTAGGCAGAGGACTACAGTACGGTGCGAAAGAAGTTCAACATCCATAGATGTAGATGGAGAGGAGACGGGGTCCCTTTAAATTGTTTGTGATGCGTTGCCCAGGCAGACGACGTTTGCGGTTTACTGCCTGTCCTTCACCGGGATGATCATCTTCACATTCACGCTGAACCTCGGACACCTCTGGGTGGTTTTCGTGACCGCTGGATTGCTCGGGTGAGTTACCCATTCTTCCATCGTTCACTCATTTATTTCCTGTTTTATTGCTGATGTAAGGGCAACGTCCCATGTACACAGCGGCGTCTGTTGACAAAGTACTCTAATGCACTACTTGTGTAAATACCCATGAAAGGCTCAATTTTGGTCTCAAGTCTCACTTTATGGAGGGTTTTTCTCGGAATATTTTGCCATTTGCTGATTGTATGGTGTTATGTGTGGGAGGAACGCTTGGGTACGTGGATAGAATCACTGCGTATGACAGCACGAAGCTCGGAATGTTGTAGTCAGGATTGATATTTGGCACAGTCATTCAAACGGGCCGTGCGTGCGTCCTCCTTTCTTAGGTTTTTCATGACGGGCTACATCCCACTGGGCTTTGAGTTTGCGGCTGAGCTGACCTACCCGGAGTCAGAGGGGACATCGTCTGGGCTTCTCAATGCAGCTGCTCAGGTACCGACCTCGTCCGTAATGGATTCAAGACGGCTGCAGAACCCCACGCAAAGGAGCAGAGACAACACGGACCACTCCGTGGTGCTTGGAGGAGACATTCGAATTAACCTGACGCGTAGGCTTTCACAGCCAACATTAAGATTCGTAATTGATCTTTGGGGTTAGGCCACGCAATGAACTGGACAGATATTTGTCATGAAGTCTGCCACCACCTGACGTAGCCCAACAATATTCATTGTCACGTGGTGTACAAGTGAAAGCAAACCCCGTCTCAATTGTTATTGTTTCAGCTCAGTTATAATTCTAACTTTCTAAACGTTGCTTGTAACAATTGTTCTCCAACGTACCGAGGCAAAAACGATTTCGCCGTGGACACCAACCATGCGTGACGATATTTAATTTGTTACAAATAATATTCATAATATTTTCATTTCATATTGCGTCATTCATGCTAATAGCATCCCATAACGCGGTACATTAATTATATACACGGACCAAATCCCATATACAGCCACCACTACTACCAAGCAAATAAAAACCTGACTACTGCTGCTACTACCAAGCACAATACAAAATTAATAAACATTATTACAAATGGCACCAAAACAATAGGCACAAACAACAAACAAGTTATCACAACAAAGCAAGTGGTCCATTATGTCACATCCCAATTTGTTGGGTTATGTTGGGTGGTGGAGGGCTTTCACAACAACAACAAAATGATTAATTCATTACGTGACCTTACCCCAAAAATTTATGAAAATATTCTATAATTTTGCCTTTTGTTCACAGCTGTTTGGCTTGATCTTCACAGTGGTGCAGGGACAACTCACGAAGCACTTCTCGCCGCTCATTGGCAACATTTTCATTTGCTGCAGCCTCCTACTGGGCACTATGCTCACAGGTACGTCATCTACACACACACAGGTACGTCATCTACACACACACACACAGGTACGTCATCTACACACACACAGGTACGTCATCTACACACACACACACAGGTACGTCATCTACACACACACACAGGTACGTCATCTACACACACACAGGTACGTCATCTACACACACACACACACAGGTACGTCATCTACACACACACGCAGGTACGTCATCTACACACACACAGGTACGTCATCTACACACACACACACAGGTACGTCATCTACACACACACAGGTACGTCATCTACACACACACACACAGGTACGTCATCTACACACACACACACGGGTACATCCTCTACACACACACACAGGTACGTTATCTACACACACACACAGGTACGTCATCTACACACATACACACAGGTACGTCCTCTACATACACACACAGGTACGTCATCTACACACACACATGTACGTCATCTATACACACACACAGGTACGTCATCTACACACACACACACACAGGTACGTCATCTACACACACACACAGGTATGTCATCTACACACACACAGGTACGTCATCTACACACACACACACACAGGTACGTCATCTACACACACACACAGGTACGTCATCTACACACACACACACAGATACATCCTCTACACACACACACACACACGAACATCACCTCCTTACCGGCGCGACAAAACAAACTCGTGTCTTTAATATTACACAGAAAAAAATACAGCATCATCAGGTTGTTAACAAGAGCTCAGATCTCGAGTGAAAGTGCTTCCTGATCCAGGTCCTTAAGTAGATGCCGTGACCTCGTCGGCACGGTCACGACACAGTCACAGCACGTGAACCAGTTCAACAATCACAGTTGTTTGATGGCTCGTTGATTGGTTGCGATCGGCAGGTTAGGATTTACTAATTGGCTGGCGGTGTACATCACTGCGGCATTGCTGCTTCACAGCGCTGTGTGTTCACACGCGAGGTGCTGAGTCGTGGTTCTCGTGCTCGTGTCATCACCCCCTTGGTTGTTCCCCCAGGCCTCATCAAGGCGGACCTGCGCAGGCTGAAGGCGAACCTTGAGAGAGGGACGGCCCAGGTGGGTTCTCACTCTCCAAGATTCACCCCCAATCATTCCCCCCTCCCCCTACCACCAAATGTGATGAGTTCCAACAATTCAGAGCCACAATTGGATGGATAAATAACTATTCTTTATTTTGATTTAACCGTATCGTTTGTATTGTCTGTCTTGCGCATGAAGTGGCTAACCAGGCGAGCAATCAAAGGGACGAATCTGTCTCAGTAACTCAATGTTAGTTGGATGAATTGGAAACTATTGCAGCTCATCTGTCTTTCAACCCGTGTCTGCAGCGAGCCATCACAACATGGCAATCGCTTCATTAAACTTCATTCAACGTGTCAAAGAACAAGCTTGCGCTGTGGAGAAGGGATTTTGTTGATTTTGGTGTATCGGGGGTCATCCATAAACTCATTTTAGTTGACAAGTTATACGTGAAATGACGACACATTATTCTGTGGTAGTAAGGCGGTATGCATGTGCCGTCTATATTTGTAATGTATTGACGAGATTGCACCTGCGGTTGAGCCGTAAGATGCTGGTGTAATTTTGAGACCGCTGGACTTTCCATCCAGAGGTGGCCGGCTCAATTGGATCTCCCGGCGCGGCAGTTGAAACAGCGGGGCAAGCTTCTTAAACCCCCCCCCCCCACCGTGCCTCTGCCTGCCCCGCAGTATAAACGGGTACAACACAGTTCGTCGATGAGCGGTTTGCGAGCAGTGGGGTAAAGTGTGGGCACCCCCCTCCCCTCTCCGTCTAGTAGGAGGCCATTGCACCAGCAGCAGTGTGAGCGACACATTGGAGGGGGGCTGCACCTTTACCGAGGCGTACTTGTTGCACGGAACCATGGAGCTGTGTGTGTGTGCGTGTCCCCTGACAGCTGTGCAGCCTTGACGATGGGCCCGAGCGGCCGTTGGATGGGCCGGTGCCCGGCTATGTGCCCGTGGACCAGGACTCCCCGTGACCGCGCGTCGCCCCATGCGCACGAGCGCGGCGCACATCCCAGCGGTATTCAGCGGCTGCTGTCAGCAAACCTGAACCCAACCTGAATAGATACTCAAACGAAACTTTTTCTATTGTACCAGGTAAGGCGCACTTGAGCGCGCTTTGCAGCTCTTCTTCAGAAGCGACCTGGCCACGTACGATAGCCCAAAGAGGTGGCTTGTCGCGTGGAAATTTATAGCAGCCAAATACTCTCAACCCAACGTGAAACCAACAAAGACTCAGCCACGAGATGCAATGAGCGTGCTGCTGCTGCTGCTGCTGCTGCGTACGCTCGTGGCAACGTCCGCAGAACAAACAGCCGTGACACGTGGTGTATCGCTCGCCATCACAGTGTGACTGTTGCACTTAAGCGTCGTATTGCCAGGCCTGTGCCATTGCGAAGTCGCCACGTCCACGTGCGTGAGCGCAGACGTCTTGTCTGTTCCGTGTGCGTGAGTGTGCCCGTCCCACTGCATTGTCGATTGCAAATGCACAACCGTAGCTTTGCATGCACTTGGGATTGTGTTCTGAACAAATGCCCACTTTTTTTGTTTAGAACAAAAGACGGAGTGGAGCTCATTTTAACACAAGATTCCGTCTCTTTTCAGGACTCTAGTTCATTCCGCAAGTAAAGGTGAACATAATATGTCCCACATAAATAATATGTCCCACTGGTCATCTGTGAAACCTATCGGACACCTGTGAAAAAGAGCTTCATAGCTCATAGGATTCCTCCGGCCTTAGTAAAGATTCTGACAAGGGAAGGTAAAGCGGGAATGTAGTTGAAGTTGAAGAGTCGTGACTTAAGCGAGGATTTTACTTTTTGATGTTTTTTATTGCATTTCAATAAGAGCCCCGTACAGAGCACAGAGCGCCACGCAGGGAGGGGGGCTACAGAAACTCCACGTGGCTCAGTCCCGAACTCTGCGGCTCCTGGGATGAGAGATGGGGGTAGGGGATTGGGCTCACCGCACCACCCAAGTGGGGACCGCGAGCGTGCTACCTCTACTCTGACGTGGAGGTGAACGGGGATTTCTCTTGGTCGAGCAGTGGTGGTGCTGCTGCTGGTCGGTTGGGGGCCCGATGCAGAACACTGATCGTTTTTTTATCAACTCCGAGTGGAAGTGGCAGAAGAGATGTGGACAGTGGATATGGAGATGTCGTGAGATTATAGAAGGGGAAGATGCGCACGGAACAGAGTTGTAGACAACAAAGAACGCACAAGATGATAGAGACGCAGACAACAGCAAGGCGAGAGATAAATTCACCCTTATTATGTTAAATAGGTTTTTTTTATATACTTATTTGGGTCTTTCGGTAAAGTCACGTAGACAGGTTGAAAAAAAATAACGAAAACCTACGAAGTTTCGATCGCAACACAAGCGATCGTCGTTTTTTTTTTCTCCTACTGATGACGACCGCTTGTGTTGCGATCGAAACGTCGTAGTTTTTTGTTATTTTCTTTGAACCTATCTACGTGACTTTACCAAAAGACCCGAAAAAATATGAATTCCTGCAGTCACGAAAACTTTAAGTCAAGATTTAGGTTTTTATGTTGATTAGGATATGAATTCAAGCTGATAGTGGATGTTGCCTGAGGCCCTTAGGTTTTTGCTTTGATTCACCACCACTAAGGTCAAGTAACACTAAAATTCAGTCAGGATCAGGTCAGCTGTGCTCACGGAGGGTCTGGTACCGACCGATGTCCTCTCATATAAACACAGCTCTATTGGACAGTGACAGCACACATTCAGCCTTGACTTCCAGCATAACACACATTCAGCCTTGACTTCCAGCGTAACACACATTCAGCCTTGACTTCCAGCGTAACACTCATTCAGCCTTGACTTCCAGCGTAACACACATTCAGCCTTGACTTAATACAATACAGGAGTTATTTACACAGGAAGAACGGCCTTGCAGATTCTTAAGGCGCGTGTTATGAGGGTCCCACTTTAGCTGATCTGATTTATAATACACATTGTAAGTTCTGCGTCATGTTGGAGGAGACTTGGAGTGCCTGGAGGGAACCCACTCGTGCCAGGGGATAACAATCCAACTTGACACAGGTCGACAAACCTCTGCTCTCGCTCCTGTGTCCCGTACACAAGTTGTTGCCCTGCTCGTGATGCCAGCTCAGTTCACCGCAGGACGATCAGTTGCGTCGTGACAAGAGGGAGGCAATTCATGGTGCTGTCAGATTCGCTTATGGGTTATTTTCTTTTATGTCAACGGAGCTCTGAATATTCTTAGTTTTTTCGGTAAAGTCACGTTGAAGGGAAACAACAAAATAATAAAATATATTTTAAACAATAAAAAATTCTCACGACGTTTCGACCATAACTCAAACGGTCGTCTTCAGGTGTGTTGGTTTGCATAAATTTATTTGTTGACACTAATGAAAAATCACGTGGCATTTGGTACAAAGACAGAGCATCTGAGCAACACTTCGTAACTTTGCGAGTAATCTGTGTGTCCACGAACGTGCGTGGTCTCGACAGGGTATGAAATGTTTTTTTTTACGACCAATAACATTGCTCCCTGTTTATGAAACGAGCGTTAAAAGTGCCTTGCTCACATTCTCATCTCTGAGCTGGGTGTACGCCAATCGCTGTCAGCTCTGCACGTCAAGGTCCTTCAATTACATTTTCATTGAAAGCACCGATTTGTCACTGTCTGAAAGGCAACCGACTCCTGATTGCCACATTAATGTCATAGATTGGCAGACATTTAGATGTTGTATTTGCGGTGACTTTATGCGAGTGTTTAATCCACACAATGGTGTTTCAAACCGTTTACAGAAGCGCGTGTTTTTTTGTGTTGCGTGCCAATTCATACCGTTGGACTGGGTGAACAGTCAACAAGCTAAAATCACTACTGTGGTGTAGTGAGGCATGAGATCGGTTTGGGGAAATAGTGTTGTTCGCTTATTGTTGACGAAAATGTAATGACAAACATTATTTAAGACTCCAACCGTGTCTCCAGCAGAAGCGATGACTGGGTGCTCGTATTGACACTTTGTACAGATTGTGCAGTCACTGCAATGCACTGTTATTGACAACTTCTTTAGCCACACTGAGATATATATTTTTTTCCAATGTAAAAAAAACTTGTGCGCGTCATACCCTCTTTATCTGATGCACAAGAGCGATGGATCGTGTTTGGAGATGTGTGCGTCAAATGAGATTCAATTTTCTTTCGTGGATCGCAATCGTCGCTACCTTCCACTTGTTGAGCACTTCGGTAAATGACAAAATGTAACAACATTTAACCCACATATAAGAATAGGTGTTACCCTTTATGGCAATAAAAACAGTTGTGTTAAGATGTTAAAACACCAAACTGAAACCTTTTGCAAGGAATCATGTCTGCATTAACCACAGACACTTGTGGTGAACATGTAAACAAAAAAAACATGTTCTGATAGTATATGATGATGCATTGTCTTTGAAACTGATTGGTCCACGCCAGAGACAGCTTTCTTGAGAGCCTTGTCTCAAACAGTGGCATTGAACCCAAATCGGCAACACTGCCATTGTAGTAAAGTTTTAATATACTGAGCTCTAACTGTGTGCAGCTACATTATTTATACGAATGTGGTCTTGTGTTGTGCTGATTTTATGTTCCTGTACAGCTGTGCAAACATATTTGTGTAATGATTACTAATGACGTGCCCTCAAGTCAAAGATAAAATCCATCCACAACGCTTCTTGTGTGTCGAAGAACGCAGTGGATTATACATACATTGACTTTAAATTATATAATGCTGATGTTTCCTCACAAAATATATTTTAACTAAAATACCTCTTATTAACTGAAGAAAACCCAATGTGTTTAACCAACCCGCTTCATTCACTTTGAGTATGTAATAACAAACCGTGATTTTACTTTTGTTTGTATTCAATAAACCGAGCATGATTACCTGTCTGTGATGGCTGTTAGGTTGTGTGTCGAGTTAGTAAGTCTGTACGTGTAGACTTCAATGTATTCCCTGAATAGATGGAAGTCCTTGAGTACGTTGCAGTGGTGTAATGGGTTAGCGCACTGGACAACGATGCGATTTTCACAAACCACTCCGCCGTCTCTTGCCCACCCATCAGTGTCAAGTGAAAGGATACCCCCAATCACAGAGTCGCTACTGAATCACGTTGCGTGTGGTGGGGTAAAGTGTGGGCAGTCGCACCCCTTCCCAAGAGAGTCGGAGGCCAGCGTGGAGGAGTCTCCTCCCCACGGCACCCTCGAGTGGGAGCGCTTCCACCGGCAGTGCTGCGAGCCAGACGTTTCGGAGCTGCGCCTTTGATTTCGGCGCTCGGCGTTCCGTGTCAGAAACTTCCAGTGGCAGTGGCAAAGCAGCGGCGTCACGAGCGAGGGACGGGGCCAGGGGGTGCCTCGCCACCACCACCACCACCACCCCAGCCCCGGTGGCCACAGCTACGAGCCGGGGCCCCCCTTGACAACCACAACGAGAGATTTGTCTTCAGTTGCAGTGTTGGGCCACCCACCCACCCACCCACTCGGCCGACTGCCGCGCCCCCCAGAGGTGATCTTGATGTCGCCGCGACGCCGTGGGCGGCAAGCGTTCTGTTCCTGAGGCTGCATCGCCCCCTTGTGGACACCGATTGCGACAAAGTGAATGCCTCTAAGTTGATGGGAAATGGTCCATGATGGGATTTTTTTTGGGTTTGATCGCGTAAAAATATATAAATGTGTCGTTAAAACCCGCCACCACCCGCCACAGCCAACTAGTAAGGGTTGTCACGTAAACAGAACGTGACAATTCGTCACTAGCACAGCACTAACCGGTGTGTTGGAGAGCCAAGCCACAACATTTATTATCTGAGTACGACGTTTCGCCAGTAATTACAACTAGCTTCATCAGGCGACAGCTAGATTTGTGGAGAAATCCTCCTGTCTCGTTCCACAATGACGACTCCGCTCGCACGAAGGTGGATTAGAAACGCCGACGATAAGTGACAAACGCGTTTTCACGTCTTGCATTTTAAACCTCGTTTGATGCTTTATTCGTGCGATTACACATGCGTGTATGGGAATCGTGAGGCGTGCCCAGATTATTGTAAAACATTCTCGGTGATGGGTCCAACATAACCGAGATTAACATTTAGATTTGCTTGAGGGCTTTTGAGGAGATTCCCCGTGCACGTGGCAACGCTGGCCCAACGATGCCTCGCGGTTGGACGCATTGTTTGCTGGGTTAAGGACTTATTCAATATTTGACAATTGTTTTCGGGCTTCATGCCCAGAAGAGGCAGGTGTGCTTATAATTGGACATCTGTGAAAAAAGTGCTTTATAGCTCATCGGATTCATCCAGTATAAATAGAGAGACTCTTCTACTCACGAACATTCGACGTACGAATATCCAGTTGCCTGTTCGGACCGAGAGTCGTAAGTTCCACCGCCGCGCATATAGATGGCGGTGGTGGCATCTACATCTACAGAACGTGAAGAACCAGTGGCATCTACAGAACATGAAGAACCAGTGGCATCTACATCTGCAGAACGTGAAGAACCAGTGGCATCTACAGAACATGAAGAACCAGTGGCATCTACATCTGCAGAACGTGAAGAACCAGTGGCATCTACAGAACGTGAAGAACCAGTGGCATCTACATCTGCAGAACGTGAAGAACCAGTGGCATCTACATCTGCAGAACGTGAAAAACCAGTCGCATCTACATCTACAGAACGTAAAGAACCAGTAGCATCTACATCTGTAGAATATGAAGTACCAGTGGCATCTACAGAACGTGAAGAACCAGTGGCATCTACATATGCAGAACGTGAAGAACCAGTGGCATCTATGTAGAACATGAAGAACCAGTGGCATCTACATCTACAGAACGTGAAGAACCACTGGCATCTACATCTGCAGAACGTGAAGAACCACTGGCATCTACACCTGCAGAACGTGAAGAACCAGTGGCATCTACATCTACAGGTGAAGAACCACTGGCATCTACATCTACAGAAGGTGAAGAACCAGTGGCACCTACATCTGCAGAACGTGAAGAACCAGTGGCATCTACATCTACAGAAGGTGAAGAACCAGTGGCATCTACATCTACAGAACGTGAAGAACCAGTGGCATTTACATCTACAGAACGTGAAGAACCAGTGGCATCTACATCTGTAGAACGTTAAGAACCAGTGGCATCTACATCTGTAGAACATGAAGAACCAGTGGCATCTACATCTACAGAACATGAAGAACCAGTGGCATCTACATCTACAGAACGTGAAGAACCAGTGGCATCTACATCTACAGAAGGTGAAGAACCAGTGGCATCTACATCTGTAGAACGTGAAGAACTAGTGACATCTACATCTGTAGAACATGAAGAACCAGTGGCATCTACATCTACAAGAGATTATGCAACTTTTAAAGCCATCCCCCGTGTTTAGTGTACATGCCGGACAACATGTTTGGAATTGACAGGATTAAAGTTGGACTGACGATAAAATCGACTTACGAACAGACCACTGGAACCTAACTCGTTCGTAAGTCGAGGAGTCCCTGTATTGTTTTTGGTAATTATGCAATCAGAATGGACAAAGCGTGTGGGTCCCTCGCAGTGGCAGTCCCTTGGGTTGCTAAGCTCCAGCCAGCAGCTCTGTAATCCGAGATGCCGTGACCTTTTGAGGGTGTCACTGCCTTGAGCCAATGTACCTTCGAGTGGCAACGATATTGCAACTTTGAGTTAACCTGACCATCTTTCTTTTATTTCATTAACAATAATTGTACATTTCAGCTCTTTGTCAAGCTGCAGCTGCGTTGAAGGTCTCCTGACGCCATATCAGTAAGAAGGGTTGTTTTACCACAGTGCACCGCACGCTGCTTCATGCACATTGGTGAATGTTCGTGAGTTGGGAGTGAGAGAGGCCGAGAATGGTTTCGAGCTCAGAGGTGACCGGGTGGTCCAGAGGTCAGAGCGCTGAGCTGTGTATATGTGTTGAACTTCTTTCGCACCGTATGTAGCCAACCGTGCTCAATCAGAGGAGGTGACACGGTGGATAAACTAAATTGGAATCCAGGCAGACGCCTGTAATTAAACTGGGGTCTCAAGTGGATTGGATTGATGCTCTCAGCCCGATCACCTATGTCTGCATAACATTTTTTTTTACTAAAGGTTGGGTTTTCACCTTGGCTAAATTTCAATTCTAAGAATTAAAATAATGTTTCGTCATGCAACAAACACCAGTCTCGTAGCAAATATAAAAAGGCAACTTAAAGAGGGTTTTTCCAAGGTTCTGTTAAAAGCTCTTGCTGACATACTCGTTGCCACTGCTCTGTGAGATTTGTGCAAAGGTGATTTGTCCCACGAAGTGGCACAGAGAGCACTCCGTGAATGAAATTGGGGGGAAAAAGACAAAAAATAGTGATATATTTTAAAAGTATCTACAGCAGTACCAGAGTCAATAGTGGCCTCCACGCAAGTGCATACGATGGAACACTGCAGTCATACGCTCACATACAACGAACACATCCTCAAATCTCATTTCTTTTATTGATAATGTTTAAAAAAATACACTTGTAAATTACAAAACAATCACGTTGCGCTCATTTCGTCAGTGTAGTAATGAGGGCGGTGTGCACTTTATTTTTTCTTTGGACACGTGGTGCTGCTGCTGCCGCCGCTTGCGATTCCTCTGCCACGGAGGGCGACGTTGCTAGGCCACAGCGTTGCACACCTTGTCCATGGCCCGTAACATGCTGCAGAGGGGCAGACAAGAACAACACGTTCATTCTCCTCGACTTCTGTGGCCCCCATGAAACACACACACACTGAGTCATACTTTACAAACCACCACCCCCCTGCCAACTATGTTCACATCTTCATCAAAATATTAAGGTCCATTAAACGCCAAGTACTGTGGAAGTTCAAATTGACCGTAGAAAATATGGCAGGTTAAGGACATCATTCTAACCGTGATAGAACATTAAGGTTGGCTTGGGCAGGACGTGATGAAATGTGTGTTAAAATTGTAGGTAAAATGATTACTTAAACCAACAATAATTCTGTTTATGGGGTGGAAAATGAAGCAGTCACTTTTAAAATGTTAATTAAAGTTGTGACATTTTCTGGGGGGTTCGTCTGCGATATGAAATGTCACAGCCTGAATTAATATTTGAAAAGTGGTCAGGTTAGAAGCAACCGAGAGTCTGTCTACCGAGGAGATGGAGCAATGACATCAGCTCGCATGCAGCTGCTATGTGGAATGTCACATTGCAGGTTCATGAAATATGATGATGGATCGGGGAAGTCTTCATCCAGCAGTGGATTATTAAAAGCTGATAATGATGTTAACTAAAGATGTGAATGAGTCAATTGTGCCCCTCTCATCTCGAACCTGCTGTGAAAGACTGGGGGGGGGGGGAATGGTTGCAGCAACACCACTGATGATGTAGAGATGATTTCTTTAAAACGATCAATCCTACGGCGTAAGTGTTTGTGGTTGTGCTGTACAGCTGTCCGGGGCGTTCTCGGCTAGTACCGCGCGTTGTTCGGCACGATGTCAGACGTTTCGCTCCGCGTGCTGGGAGCTTCTTCATGGAACTGAACTGAAACCGAGCAGCTCACTTTCCATACAATCAAGGGGGAAAGTGAGCTACCCATTTCACTTCCTCAATTAGCTCCCAGCACATGGGGCGAAACGTCGGCCATCGTGCCGAACAACATGCGTCGTGACACGCACCCCTTGAGACCCAAACAAATTACATTTCATTGATGTTTACCAGGAACAGAAACGCACTACGTTCATGTTTTAACACATGGCCCTATTTAAAAAGCCTTACATTTCAAGACAGCCCTCCACCCCTTCCTTTGGGAAATGTCCAGATCCACCACCTCTGTTGGGAGTCTCACGCATGGATCACGTTGGAGTCTCGTGTACGTACAGGTAAACTGGTTAACCCTTCGGCCAAACATCGAACGCTGATTTCCTCTTCACGCGGATCCGTGATCTGCCCCCTTCACTCACCTGGCGAGGGGGATGCGCTCTTCGCACATGCCCAGGAAGGTGTAGACGTAGCGCAGGGCGTGCTCGTACTGCGTGCCACAAGGAGGGGTTTCATCACAGGCGCTGTTCATCTCAAACGACTTCGCATTGCGCACGGGAAGTAGGTCAAGTCAAGATCGCTGTGCTGGAGCGTTACAAATAAATCGAAAAGCTGCAGCTTCCAGTGAAAACAAAGTACGGCAATCCCTTGCCAACCGCCTTCTCCCGCATCCGCCGTATTTATGTATCCACGGTTTTCCTTCGGCATACCAATTTGCTAACCGCGTGGGTATGCAGTTTTGTGTATCCTAGGGTTGTGCTGTATAGCTCGCTGACGCATTTTTGAGTTGTACTGTGAATTGTTTGACATGGTGTCCGACGTTTCACTTCGCTCGCCGTGAGAAACAAAAAAACGCGTCAAGAGGTAAGTAACCATCGCAGCGCCCTCCCGCCATGCTCTGCATCGTTGTGACTTTCTGAGCCGCGCCCGACTGACATCTGTGAAAGAGCTTCACAGCTCATCGGATTTCTCCAGGACAAACGCAGAGACTCCTTGTCCCGACACCAACGACTCGCTACGAAGTCGCTGAATCCCCGAGAGGCGCGTCCGTACCAGCGGGGTGTTCCAGTTGAAGCAGCGCGTCTTGAAGTGCCGCGTGGCGGCGCGGTAGCACGCGTGCTGCGTGAGACGCGGCCGCGGGGAGCCGCTGAGGACGGCGCTCGCCTGCTCCTCCGTGGCGGTCGATAGCCCCACGATGAGCTCCACCGACTCGCGGATCAGACGCCTCGCCTGCACAACGACGGACGTCAGCTGCCTCCCCCCACCACCACCACCACCCCCCACCCAACCCTCATCTCACCCCCTCCTCCTCTTACCAATGTAGGTACATTGGTCAGCGAGTAGGTCCGTATGCACGTGAGTGGGTAGGCGTTCAGGGGACACAGCTGGAGCGCGCGCGCGTGCGCGTGTGTGTGCACGTGCGCGTGTGTGTGCACGTGCGCGTGTGTGCGCGTGTGTGCGTGTGGCACGTGTGTGTGTGCACGTGTGTGTGTGTGTGTGTGCACGTGTGTACGTGTGTGTGTGTGCACGTGTGTGTGTGTGTGCACGTGTGTACGTGTGTGTGCGCGTGTGCGGCCGGACCTGCATCTGCGCGTCGATCTCGCGCAGCAGCCGCGCCTCCTGCGCCTTGCCGTCGGCCTGCTGCAGCCTCCGCGACAGCACGGCGAGCACCACGTCGGGGCTGGCCACGGCGTCGCGAGGCGGCCCCGCGCCACCCGGCGCCGGGGGCAGCGCCCGCAGCGAGCGCTGCTGCTCCTGTCCCTGGAACTCGATGAGCATCAGCTTGGAGATGGACTGTGACGTCAGGGTCACGTGGGGGGTGAGGGGGCGGGGCGATAAACATAGAGGCACGTGTCGCTACTTGGGTGTTTCCGTTAACATCGACGATTGTCGGATTGCGGCTGTTTGGATTCTTCTTTCTCATCTCGTGACGTGCTGGGTTTTTGTCTGGTGACCCAATTTTATCCCGATTTTGTTTTCAGCCGCGTCAAAGTGATGAAATGAAGAGTCCCACTGACAACTCTCGCCGAGAGGCTTGCATAAAGTAGATAGTTTCAACAACAGGATTTTGGTATTTTGCACGCAATCTAGCATTCCATTACAACTTTCCCACCAGCAGATTTCGATGCAAGTCTAAATTGAAAACGAATTTCTTTAGAACTTATTTTTTGTGCGTTTATTTTGTTGTCCTTCCTCCGCACCTCCGATGAGCACGGTTGGCTACGTACGGTACGAAAGAAGAGCAACATATGTGCGTACAAATCTGGACTCTTCCATGATCTTACTTATCGGGGGAGGCAACTCGGCCCTGTACCTTGTCACCGAATTCCATGACGTGGCTGGTGTTTGTGTTCTTCTTCACGACCTCGTACTGCTCATTCAGATTCACTTTGGTCAGGTCCGCCTGCAAGAAACAATCATCATCGTTATCGTTACGCATCGTCGCCATTCACCACCATCATTGTATCATCAGTATATTATATTTTTCTTTTAAAAAAATGTTGACGTTGTTTTTGTGACATTAAAGTTTTCCCTTCTTATTTAGCAGCGAGTAACCCTTCAAAATAAACTTGTTTTAGTGAGTTCGCATATTGTTTGAAATTAGTCTGTCACCATCAACACAACAATAATAATAACAACACTGCCATCACTGACGTTGTTCTCCATGGCTGGGAATCAAACTCAGGTAGCCAGGTTCAGTGAGCAGTACAATAACCACCAAGCCACCGCCGCACCCCATTCAAACACATATATAGACATACTGCATAAACTATAACCATTCGATGTGAATCCAGTATATCTTGTGTATACCAGCTTGCTACTGACAACGAATCGCCACAACAGCCGGTGACGGCCGTTCAGTGTTTGCGGTCAGAGTGAACAGCGCACCGGTGGCCACTTCCAAACACGTGGGTACCGGTTACATCCACAGCTTCACTGAGCTGTGGGTACACGCCCAGATTCTCACGTGTGCTTGGCAGGGGCTGGGCGGTAGTGTACGTATGTAGGGGGGGGGGTAGTGTACGTATGTATGGGGGTAGTGTACGTATGTATGGGGGGTAGTGTACGTATGTAGGGGGGATAGTGTACGTATGTATGGGGGGTAGTGTACGTATGTATGGGGGGTAGTGTACGTATGTAGGGGGGGTAGTGTACGTATGTATGGGGGGTAGTGTACCTATGTAGGGGGGTAGTGTACGTATGTAGGGGGGGGGTAGTGTACGTATGTAGGGGGGGGTAGTGTACGTATGTATGGGGGGTAGTGTACGTATGTATGGGGGGTAGTGTACGTATGTAGGGGGGGTAGTGTACGTATGTAGGGGGGGGTAGTGTACGTATGTAGGGGGGTAGTGTACGTATGTATGGGGGGTAGTGTACGTATGTATGGGCGGTGTTGTACGTATATACTCCAATACCCCGACGGTTTTGGCAATCACGGGAGTTTTCAGGAACCTAAGCCCCGCGAATGGCAAGGGAATGCTGTCTGTTGAAAGTTTTTCGCACCTCCGATGAGCCAACCGTGCGAATCGGTGGTGCGGGGGAAGGTTAGCGAGCTGCGCTACGAATCCGGCGACCTGAGTTCGATTTTGTGTACCGGGCCTGGGGATCCCCTATGTCGACTAAGCCTCAAATGAGTAACTGGTGTGGTCGTAAACATCGCCACTGGGGAGACAAAGGCGGTCGGACGTGGTGCTGGCCACCCACCCTCTCATGTGCCGTGGTTGCCTTCATAGATGCTACACGCTAACAGCACTTTACCCTGCAGCCTGGTAAGGCTATAACGGGGAATCTTTGGTGAGCGGGATGAGTGGGTGGTGAGCGGGATGAGTGGGTGGTGAGTGGGATGAGTGGGTGGTGAGTGGGTGGTGAGTGGGATGAGTGGGTAGTGAGTGGGATGAGTGGGTGGTGAGCGGGTTGAGTGGGATGGTGAGTGAGATGAGTGGGTGGTGAGTGGGATGAGTAGGTGGTGAGTGGGATGAGTGGGTGGTGAGTGAGATGAGTGGGTGGTGAGTGGGATGAGTGGGTGGTGAGCGAGATGAGTGGATGGTGAGCGGGATGAGTGGGTGGTGAGTGAGATGAGTGGATGGTGAGCGAGATGAGTGGGTGGTGAGCGGGATGAGTGGGTGGTGAGTGGGATGAGTAGGTGGTGAGCGAGATGAGTGGGTGGTGAGCGGGATGAGTGGGTGGTGAGTGGGATGAGTGGGTGGTGAGCGGGCACCTGGTCACTGTGCTCCATCCAGTTGACGCTGTACACGTCTCCCAGGTAAGTCTGCCTCTCGTCGTCGTAGTAGCAGGCGTACGACGACTCCTCGCTATTGGCAGCGGTCGTGGCGTAGACTACGGCGAGACGTGCGTGAGAACATTTGTACTGTTTTATTTCCTAATTAGTTTTATTTCCTAATTTAGTTTTATTTTGACAGCTATACAGACTTTTTTTTTCAGAAGCGACGGGGCCATCGCAAATGATAGCTCAACGAAGTGGCTTATCGTCACGTGGGAATTTATAGCAGCCAAAATTTTAAAAAGCGCGTTAATTCTAAATGTGGAGGGGAACACCGTAGAAGCCCGGATAAGAATCCACGTGACCACGGGGAGAGAGACACGCAGACTCCAAATATACAGCAGGTGTCAGGGTCGAACCCCCGACCTCCTGCATACCAGGCGAGGTAGTTAACATCTCCTAGTCACCATCATCTGCCAATAAGTTGGAAGTCACGTTTTCCAAAACCATCACAGCCAAATTCGATTTGTAACTGGAGCACAGAGAATAATCAATAATCCCCTCGCTCGTGATAACGAACGAGGGAATGGGTGTCGTTGTGAATCTGTGCGTTTCTCTGCGGCTCAGTGGGCCTCAGTATACGCGCGTGGGTCGACAGACCTCGTTGTGTCTCCGCACGCATGCAGTCTGCGCCAGACCATGAGAGGGCCCCACGCTCCTGTAGATGAAGGAATACGGCGATCCCACGAAGGATTTATCTCCGGGCTTCAATCATCCACTGGGCAGCGCTGTGTCTATGGTTCTCTCGGTGTGAGAGTATCCACGTGAACTTATACTCAGTTGCCCTTAACAAACGCCGAATAATAACTTTAACGCGCTCACTCCCGTCGTGAGAGAACGACTCAGAGGTGCGAGGAACCAAACGAGCGGGAAGGCAGCGACACGGTGAGACGGAAGCGCCCTGAGAAAGCCCAGGCGTGCGAGGGGGAAACGCTCTATCCGAGTGCTCTTCATTGCACTGGCGGCCCACGACAATGCACAAAGAGTGACAACACCCCCCATCATCATCATTATGGTGTGGCGGCACTCACGCTGATGGTGTCTTATCGGCGAAAGTGGCTGCCCCGCTGAAAATTAGTGAAAAACACTGCCCTTTCCCATTCAGTCGGAAACCGGAGGAGTCCGAATTTCAGTTATACTGCGTTCTCCTGGTGAGCCAGGGCACGGCACCTCCTAGATGAACACGGGACGAGAATGTTGCAACGGTTGTGAACGAGGGGGAGGTGTCCGTGGCGGTCACCATTGATGTTGGCGGGGAGGTTTTCCATCATGGATCCGGACTCGCACGCCTCGATGTAAATCACCATCTGCAGCAGAGGAAACGTCGGCCTCATCACGACACCGAGCAGAGCCTCAGGCTCCCGCATGAGTTCCCACAGCCGTGCTGTGGTCGTAAATCTGATGCGTTTGTTTTTAGGTTCAAGCAGCTACCAGACACGCAGACATTCAGTTCCCGAAGAAGCTGCCAGCACGCGGGGCGAAACGTCGGACAACGTGCGGTGCACCTAGAAAACGCGCCAAATACTCCCGTTGACAGTTTAAATGGGTGCAGCGATGAGTTTAGGTAAATGTAATCATTTCAAAATGTCGTATTATAATCTGTATCTTCTATATGTTATGATAGCCCCTTCTACAGAAGGGTCATTGCCTATTATGTATTTTCCATTTTAAGGTCCACCATGTGTTGAGTTACATATTTGTACGCAAAATACGTTAAACGTAGAGTTTTAAAACATTGTTGTGTGCAAGGCTCACCTTGGAGTACATCTTGTTGTCGTACATGTACTGGATCGTCTTGTTCAGGTCGTCCACACTCAGCTGATGGAAACGGTGGGCAGAATCGACGTTAGGAACTCTGAGCGGCCGTGCATCACCAACATCACGGTGGGACACACGCACCAGTCGCTAGGTTCGCGAAATTGGTTCGCTGTCGCGTTCATAATGAATGGAAACACGACTCTGAGAACCAGCGAATGTCAGCCAGGCGAGCAGGTGGACATGTGAGCAGGTGGACATGTGAGTAGGTAGACATGTGAGCAGGTGAGCAGGTGAGCAGGGTGGACATGTGGACATGTGAGTAGGTGGACATTTGAGAGATTGGGAGCATGGAGGAAAGGATGGGACAGTAAGAGATTATCTACCAGTAGCTTCCAACCATCGACACTCAGCCATCAACGGGCATCCTAGCTGACGACACCATCCAAACGCAACGTGCGTGACAGGACAGAGTCACCGCCGTGAAGCAGCGTGCAACCATTCGCCGTGCTCGTGATCTTCACCGATGAACCGCTACCTCGTCGTTGGGGAAGGCGATGATTCCCGGGGCTCCGTGGTCGGTGAAATACACGAACACGTGGTCGTTGGGGCCACTGCCGGCGACATGAAAAAAACATCACGAGGATTCACAATTTGTGTATACAGCGAATGTGTTTGATTCCCGCCCACGGCCACCACCAACACCAGTGACGATTATCTGAACCGGTCCAGGGCCCTCCTCCCCCCCCCATGTCAAATGAGTACCGGGTGCAGCGTGTAAACCTCGCCCCTATGGAGACGAAGGCAGCCGGCAGTGGTGCTGGGCACCCACCCCCTGGTGTGCCGTACCGGCCTTAATCGTTGCTCACTAACAGCACTCGCCCCAAAGGTCTGTTAAGACTACACGGGGGAGATTTGTCTTTGTGGCTAAGTCAAAATATGTGTGCGTGTCTGCAGAAAATTACGACATCTCAACGCATTGTCCATCACGTGAAGAGCGAGCGTTGTGCACTCGCCTCTTGAGCACCTTCCCAGAGCCCTTGCCCTGCACACCCGACTCGTCACCTTTCAGCACCGACAGGAACACCTGGGGAGTGACGTTCTGCGGGAGCACAACGCGGCCAAGCCAGGGTAAGGGACAGCAGCAGCGCTCAGCGGACAATCCAGAGATCACCGGCCAGGCAGGGTTGGTGGATCTCATATTTTTTCGTTTCCACAATTTTATGGCGATTGTGCTATCGGCATCCCGCCACCAGACGAACACAGCGCAGTGCAGCCAGGCCTTGGCGCTGGAGAACGGCTCACGGAAGTGGATATCACAGAGCTACCTCTGATCACCTTCAAATGACCTTTGGTCCACACAGAGTAGAAAGCAGCGCTCCTTACTTGCTCGACAAATTGCGTGGTAATGGAAAAAAAAATGTGGAGTGATCGTGCTGTGGTTAGCACACCGCGCTGCGAACCCGGCGATCTGAGTTCGATTCCTAGCCATGTCTGACGTCGGTAGCGAGTGATATCTGAAGCGGTCCTGGGCTTCCCCCCTTCACCAACCGGCACTGACCAACGTGGTAAAGTATGGCCAACAGCACTGAGGATGACCCTGGGAAGTGGATATCTCAAGAGCTACTTCTGAGATCACCTTCAAGTGACCTCTGGTCCACACAAAGTAGAGGCAGCACTTTCTCCACCCACTCTGCATATGAGAGCAATGGTTACTTCCTGAGCCTGCCCTTGAAATGTTGTTCTAAAGTGATAATAAATGGTCCACTTCTCAGAGGAGAGGCAATGTTGCCTGCAGAGGCTGTGTTGTTATTTATTACCTGTGCCAGCCGTGACAGTCAATGATGGAACGCGCTGCAGTAGCGGGAGGTTAGGCGCTCACCGTAGGCAGAATTGACCTTAAATTTTTATGTGGCGATCCCTGTTTAATAAGCGAACAAGGCCAAGTGAGGCCAGGCGAGTAAGAGTTTAGAAATATCTTTCACGCGCGGTTGCGTGGGACATTGGGGCAGTACTCTACTGAACATTTGCTTTAATTTTTTGTTAGTAATTTAAAGTAGAGTTAATTTATATATGTGTATAAAATCCAGTTAAACCCAAATGTTGAGGTAAAACACGAACAAAAACAAGTGGCTAATTGAAGTCATTTTCTCAGGCTTGGCATTTAAAATCGATTCGAATCAAATCAAAATATCGGATGTTCGGTCTCATTGTCTCCAGCGAGTGGGACATTTGGGAATCTCCCAATGGGCGGGTCAACCCCTCACGTGGAGCGCCACACTGAGACGAGCGGGAAGCAAAATTATTCCAGCCCTGGTCAACAACAAGACACCATTACAAGGCAATGATTTACATAGAAACTGTTACTACGCTTGTTTACCCGGGAGATCCTCACCGAGTCTCATGACACTTTTGCAGGAGGGTCCTGCCAAAGTTTTCTCAGTAGGGGGCAACCATTTTGCCGTGGAGATTGAAATCGGGTGATTTGCGTGTCATTTTTCAAATTTGGCAAAATGTGCACCATTTAAGGCGTACGGAACACCGGCGCTGTTGAGGGCACAATAGCTGAGAGGCGATAACGTTTCTCGAGCAAGGCGAAGAGCAGGGTACAAACTTGGGAAAAGAGATGACGGGGGGAGGGAATTCCAAAGTGGAGCAGTGCGAGGAAAGCAGCAATTTGAGAAGTTGTTTTGACCTTGAGTGTGGTGGCCGACACAATGTGGATGCCCATACGGTCCAGTCTGTGTTGTGTGGGCCTAGACAAGAGATAACTAACAGCACTTTCTGTAACAAATTATAGCATGGACAGCCAGAGGTATATACAAAAAAAAACACTCACTTCTCCAATGTAGTCCTTGGGAACTCCGCTGTAAACATCAGGCCCCTTGGGCTTATTGATGATGATGCCCTTGGTTGGATTTCTGTGGAGAGGGTGGGGTGGGTAGAATATGGTGGAGGATACGTGGGTGGTGGAGCTGGGGTTGTGAAGGTGATGGTAGCAGCAGATGTAGCCCTGGTGTCGATCGGGGTTGATGAGTGTTGGCGACAATGAATTTCGGTGTCACCGATTGGGTTTCAGTGTCACCGAGCGTCAGTGTCCATGAGTGGTTGTTGTGTCAGCACGCGCCGGCGTCGATAGACCGCCGGGGTTGCCACTCACTCGTCGTTGCCAGCGATGTCGTCGTACATCATGACGATGACCCTCTCGTCGGGTACTCCTGCCTTGTGCACGATCTGGTACGCGTGGCACGCGTCCGCCTGACGCGACACAGAGACAACGGCAGACGATGACGGTCTGGGAGCGGCGGCGCAACTGGCAAGCGCGGCGAGTCTAAGCCTGGCACGCGGATGGGCGGGCGGCTGGTAAAATTGTGGCATGAAGTGCCATTAGTCACCTAGCCATGTCTCAATTATAATTATTATTGTACAAAGTAGGAAGAGGCTCGTAATGTACGCGTAAGATCCAAACACGTGTGGTGCAACCAGGCTGTCAAAGTGTCTTCGACCCAGCAACCAATCAAACCAGCAAAGATCATCACTTAATGTGGACACTGATAAAGAGGATGGAACAACAGCTCTGAAGTCCGTAAATAAACAGAGATAAATGCGTGCTCGCAGCCGCGCTGGGAGACAGAAGGAAGCACGCGCATTGGAGAGCGTCACGCAGGTTAAGAGACGAAGTTTCAACGATTAAGACATGTGACTGCGCTTGGGCAGGACGCGTGACAGCTCGAAGGGACGACGGCCCATGGGCGAGAACAAGGAACCGGCGGCAGCCAAAGGGGAAAAAAAACAGAGTGCCCAAGATCACGTCCACCGTGGAGATGGAGCGACGAGATTGGCTCGTGAGTAAGATACTTGAGTGGATTGTTACGTCACAGGCCGGAGGGGGCCCTGGCACTGGGCTACATTGCGGGGAGATATTGGACAGGGCTCCCATTGAATTCCTGACATTCGTGCCCACGCACACCGAGGCGATGCCACTGAGTTGAGGAGAGGAGGCTACCTGGTGGCGGTAGTTGTAGTAGCCGTTGGAGCCGGCCACCAGCACGACCCACGTGTCGGCTCCATCCTCTGGCATCCGGAAGGTGAATGCGTGGACACCCGCGCCCAGCAGAGCCACCACAGCCAGCAGCAGCGTGCTCTTCATGTTGCCCTGCGATCAAAACAAACGCCGCAACGCGGAATCGCTTCCATAACGATTCCAATTGCATCACAAACACTGCCCTGGTACGTCGAATGTGTTCACGTGAGGAAACAGAACTACTTTATGAAACTAAAACTGAAAAATAGGTTTGTACCCACGTCCAATCTGAATCGTGCGACCTCCACATCTGACAGTTACTCCCTCAGATAACTAATGGGCCAAGGAGAACCCACCGCTGATGTACGTGCCAGTGAGGTGTACCTGTGCAGTGCGTAGCCTCACCTGTGTCTGTTCTCAAAGGAGCTGGCTTGGATTGCCAGCACCTGGCGTATAAATATGAGAGCAAAGCTGCTGACACAATGAAGGACCTTGAACCCATGGTGAGACTGTGATCGTGCGCATGCCGTCAAACGAGGGGTGGGGGGATAGAAGCAAACGCAAACCACCCACGCGGCTCAAATATTCACTATGTAACCAACGACAGTAAAGAAACAAGTCAGATGAGCATTGAGGCAGTGATCATTTATTTTTTACAGCCATAAAGCTCTTTTTCACAGATGTCCAGTAGGGGCAGGTCAGAATAAGTTCAACATACATACATTCCTATAGTTGGGAGGAGCCCAACCACATGACAACCACCCTCGACTCACCTTCATAGTGGTACTCAATTTATCGACCCCAGAGACATGATGAGCTCAGTCAACGCCTCAACCAGGATTTGAACTCACGACCTTCCCGTTTGCAGGTCACTCGCTCTGCCGCTGAACCACCGGGCCGCATTCCACGTGCAGTAAATATCCCTGATGTGAAACAGTCTGAGTGGTCGTGGCAATCCCCTTGTGATTGCTTTTTTTATGTTATAATGAAGGCAGCTTATTGTAGTTGCTTCTTTTGAGTCCAGTGTATTTTGATAATGGAAAACTATCGATGTTTCACGTTGCTGTCCCTTGGGGGAAATTAAAATACATCACCGTGGAAGGGGAAATGGCAATTAATCAAAGTCCTCATTTTTTCCGGGTTTCACTTGCAAAAAAAGGGAACAATGTCTAAATGTGCTCTCACCTACTCACCTATTTCATTTGTTCAAAAGATGACGCTAATTATACACAGTGGTATACTTTATAACATTGCTTTCTTTGCTCATTTACATTTTATTGTTACACATCATTCATAGGCAACGTCTAGCTTTTGCCGACTTCGGAGTAAATAACTGATCACAGTTCTGGGCTGATAACAAATGGAATGTCAGAGTATCTTGCGCATTCCATTAAGTGCAGCTAAACACACCTCATAAGTGGTTACTCAAGAAGATTCCGTGGCCGTGGTTGCACGAGTTGGCCTTGGAGGCTTTGGGAGGTTTTCATCCAGGAGTGGATTGACCATGGCTGACGAGAAAGTCTTGGTGGGTTTAAGATCCTATGGCACCATTAGCAAAGAGTAGATCTTGAAATTACAACCCAGACAAATTTCCTGCAAGCGCTTTCCCTTAAACAAATATATATATAATGTGGCATCTCGAGAATCCCATTAAGCATTATTAAATGTAAGTGATCAATCGATTGATGAAGATCTCACTGTTCGGTGTGTGTGTGCTCTATCCACAGTTTCTGAACCTGGAAGAAGACCTTGACACCATGGCCCCTGTAAAACATCACACACAAACACGACCATGTTCCTCCTGCCTTGATCATTCAGCACTGACCATCGTGGTGAAGTATGGCCATGTAACCACCCTGATCCACACATGGCACGGGGAGGGCTTTATCAGCAGTGGATTGATAGAGATCTCAACATTAAACGATATGCGTTTCATTGACATCACAACAGATTCACCAATAATGGAATGTGCCAGGTCACAATTGATTATTTTTAATTGTAATACGAATGCGTTTATTTAGTAATACAGTTTTCTTTGATTGTTGAAGGGTTTGTATGTTACTCAATGATGAGTAAAGGGTGACTATGCCAATATAAATAAAACTTAACCAGAAAATGTTTCAAATATAATTCTTATCTGGGCACCATGGTATAAAGTGCAGTCTCCAACTCTTATCCACTCAATCTCTTCTGCAGAAGGGCTTAGAACATCACCAATTATATCTACTGTATTTCATTTTAAGGCAGTGTTCTTGAAAAAAGACGTGTTGAGTGTTTTGTTCTTGTCGTTGTTGTTCGTGCTATTACACAACTGCCAGCGCAGCAGCAGCAGCAGGTAATGAGTGTTAGACACGACGCTGTACACCCACGTGCTGCAGTCCACGCGGACGCATTAATGGTGCACGCGCACCACGCGACCAGCAATGCTCTGCCTATGTACCTCAGAGGAAGCCAGGGGAGGCTGGCAGGCGGATTCATGGGAACATCCGAGAGGTTGCCACCATTGCTAACCTCGCCGAGGTGGTCATAGAACTGCGTGACCACGTCCGCTCTGGTTTTGTCTCACCTCGTCGTGATTCATCGTCTCGCAAACATCTCGTCCTGAGGTTCAGAACCAGCGAGCATCCTGGTCACAATTCATGAATAAACCTTGAACTACTGAACAGCACTGGCTACATTCTGGATACATATACTTACATAACAAAAGCCTTAATTGGTTAACATTTATTGCGGCACTTACATCCTGTGCTTCCAAGTATAATACTGTACTATTATTGTAGCTGGGTCATTGCCTACAGTGTCTCGTCCATTAATATTAGTAGAGTAAGATGAGATCCAACATTCCCTGCTTCGCCTCGGGTCTTCAACTCCTTCTACAGATCCACCCCGGACATATTTCTCAGTCAGCACGAGGCCGATCATAACTCAGTCCGCCTACGTCTATGAAATCTGTGCAGTTTACTGGATTGAAGTTCAACACCATGCAGTTAACAGATCTCGGTGCCAGATGCCAGATTGTCTGGGTCACCCAGGCAGGTGACACCCCTGACCTTGTACAGCCCTGGTCTCCTTGTCACTAAAGCCCCACGGAAGCCCGTGATCGGGCACGTGCCCTGCGATGACTTCGGTCCAAAGTGCATCGATGGTCACACGCGTGACCAGAGGCACGGATATCACCAAGACGCGTTCGTCGACACAAATTTATATTTAATTACCAAATCATCGCCAAGAAGACTGCCTCCGGTCTCATCACAGATCTCGGCAGCTGAACAAGGTGGAGCCTCGATTGTGCTCGGATGGGCGACCACCATGCATAACAGGCGCTATAGGCTGTGGGCGTTATATGTCGTGGGCATCAGTGGGCAGTGCAGCAACATTCACAGCTGTACTGCACTTCTATGCTGCCAGGTTCCTCCCACCATGGTCAATCAGCACTGACCATCGTGGTGAAATATGGTTGTATAACGACCATGACCCATACGGCATGGGGAGGACTTCATCCAGCAGTGGATTGACAGAGCGCTCAATAATAACTTACATGTGGTTCACATATCATGACAACAGGTCCACCCATAATGCAATGTGCCAGTAACATCTCATGATTGTACTTATAATACAAATACGTGTATTACTTTTGATAATTGAAGGGGCTGTTACTTAATAGCTACTAATAGGTAACTATTCATATGCAAACAACTGTTCTTTAGAAAACGTGTTTCATTTCATTATTACCTTTGCACTACGGGGTAAGTGCAGTCTCCACATGTTGTCTACTCGATCTCTCTGGCCTCTCTGTCATGCAGAAACCCCATTTCCCGGAACATCAGCAAATATGTATTTGTATCATTTTCGAGAAGTGTTATTGACAAACGTTTTGAGCGTTTTATTTGTGCACTACTGCAAACGCAGCAGTATTACCAGATCATTCGTGTGTATAACGGTTGTGTGTTTCAATATGCTGTACTGTATTGATGTTTGCGTCTGCAGTGTGCGCGTATCTATATATACTGACAAAGGTCATCGATCCGCTGTACAGTCTGAAAGATTGTAGCTGCAAGCACTCTTACACGAGGGATCTGCAACCAAAACAATGAGACGGGTTTTTTTTATCGAATTCTGGAAAACAATTCAATATTCCAAGAGCCACAATGCCAGGTGAACACGAGACGATGGCCCTGAATAAACAAGGTCGCGATTCGGTCCTTAAAGAACCACCGCATCAGTAGGTCTGCTGACCCCTGCCCATGGTGAACTGCACTTCCCATGGTCAGCAGTCGGCAAACAACAAGAGTCAATTTGTTTTTCCAATTTCAAGTCACCGCAGGTTAACGACCCCCGTCTTCGACTGCAGCAGCATGCCCAGCTGCCTTTGTGTCACCGCTGCTGTTTACACACACACACAGAGAGCGCCCCAGGTACTACTCTACTACATATTCAAGAACGAGTTCACCTGTTCCCACACAGATTCCCCGATGGTGAGCACCTGGTGACGCTCTTTGAGAAGCTGTGGCCGTAATTTTATTTTTGCTTGGCCGGTATCCTCAGGGAGCACGTGGCTCGCCTCGTGAGGCCCGCACGAAACCCCCGCAATCCTTTGTGCGTTTATTGTTGCATGGGTGAGCCATGAAGAGTGCAAAACAAATAAAAACCACGCCGCGTCACACCTGGTGTTTCATTAAAGCAGCACGGGATTATTTACAGTCGACAGCCAATGCGTTATGTGGTGCACAAGAATGTCACGTTGACAATTTATTCATGTATTGTTGCCAAGCCGTGAAGAGACCTGTCCAGCTTTCTACAGTCCACTTCATTTCCAGTCCAGCTTTGAGTGGATACCAATGAAGAGAGAGAGAGAGAGACGTTAAATGAGAGCCCAATTATCCCCCCCGCCCCTTCACTCAGCCCTGCCACGCCGAACTCTGGCTGCTGCTGCTGCTCGCGGATTTTGTGTTCCCGCTCCGTTCTGTGATCGGCGCTTTTTACCCAGCTCACTTTGAGTTGTAATAAAAGAAATTTTAAAAAGCCGAGACGTTACATGCTTGGTGTTGAAGGCTGTATGTAAAGAAGAAGGCCGGTCAATGCAGTGTATCTTGTTTGGTCGTCGATTGAACGAGATATACAGTATTTGGCTCAAACTCCATCCATCCCATCCGATCTTGAGCTTTCTTGATTTCTTTACGTGGCCCGGTTTCTCTCCTTCCTTCAAGTGACATCTTCCTTCTCTGCCTCTTAGCTTCTTTCCTAACATCCTTCCAGATGATAATAGGTTTTTTACCCTTTTATCTGGCAACAAAACTGACACCTTTTAACAAGGGATCATGTTTGCATTAACCACAATACCTGCGGTCAAAATGCAAACAAAAAACAGCACTCTGATAATGTATGTGGCATTGTCCTTGAAATTGATTGGTCCACACCAGAGACAGCTTTTGTTAGAGCCCAGTCTCACGTGGTGTTCGACCAGATGACGCCAAAATGCGCACAACTCAAAGACAACGCGCAATCAGAGTATTGAGAGCTCGGGGTAAGCATTTACACCATTTACATCATGGTGTCAAGGTGTTAGTTTTGTTGCCAGATAAAAGGGTAAAAAACCTATTATCATATTTTGCTACTGGCAAAGGTCTCGTGATGTAAATCCTTCCAGATCTTCCCTCCTCAAGCTTCCATCTGTGAGAATGTGCCGCATCCACATTTTTTTCCTGTTTGGGATTTTTTTCCAATTAGACTTCAGTGCATTTAAGAACTTTGTAACAAAATGTGAGTGGGTATGACTGTAAGGGTCAGCAAATGTCATCCCCGAGTTAATAAGTTAGTCAGAGTGCATTAGGTTTTACCGCATTTACGAATCTCGACGTGATTGTAGCCAAAACATGGCCCAAAACCCACCCAGCAAAAGAGTCCTCTAAATTTCGATTTAAAGCTTTCGTGACTGCAAGGATTCATATTCTTTGATTATTTCGGTAAAGTCACGTAGAATGAGAATAAAATAATAAATTGATAAAATAAAATGACGCAATAATATTCTCACGACGTTTCGGCCATGAAGGCCGCTTGTGTTGTGGCCGAAACGTCGTGAGAATATTATTGTGTTATTTTATTTTATCAATTTATTACTTTATTCTCATTCTACGTGACTTTACCGAAAGAACCAAAGAAGAAGAGTCCTCTACATTTTGATTTAAAGCTTTCGTGACTGC